ATAGTCTCATCGAAATATCATAATAAAGTCTTTAATAGATTATTTTGAGGGCTCTAAGTACCTTACTTATACCCTTAGCGTTACCCTTCTAGGCTTTCTATATATCTTTCTTTATATTCTTAATAAATCCCCTTATAAATCTATTAACCTTATAATTATTAGTCTTAATATAATCTAAAACTAACTAAGTAACCTTAGTAATATTATCTATACTAGTCAAATCGTACTTATTTCTATTATTACTATTCTAATCGCGTCCCTTTTATTATTATTATCTATACTCCTCTAGATTAAGGGGTCAGCGTAGAATCTATACCTTAGAATCCTTAGTTTTAGGGTAGCGGAATACTATTTAGGCTTACTACTAATACTATAGCAGTCGTACTAGGTCGAAACCGGTATCGATCGATAGCACATAAGGTTAGATAATTTTTAAACGTATCTATAAGGCTTTATAAGCCCTAGATCTCGAGATAGACTAAGAAATCGATTTCGATAAGAGATAGTTATAATCTAAAGGCCTACTTTTCTTATCCCTTTTTTAATAAATCCAACATTAGCGCCTAATAAGGAGATCTATTAGATCAATCCTTAACGATTAATATATAATTACCTATATAGATAGGAGATAATATAATACTCTATAAGATATAGATAGAAGAAGATCTATAGAATTCTATAGAATAGAATCAGGTGGAATGATCCTAAAGGAATCTAAAAGAATCACATGATTTAATAGAGTACTAGTCTATTATATTATATAGGTCTATATGATTCTATCGCCACCGATTCTATCACTATTGATTACCACCTACTACCTAAGAATCTAGGGATAACTACCCCCTCGATCCTCTATTAAAATAATTTCTAATAATCATCCTGAAATAATCTTGATCATCTCTTAATACTACTATATTCACCATACTATATAGCTATACTATATAGCTACATCCTATAAGTATCTTCCTATCTACCTTGCTTCCTATTCGCTTATCACCCTGCTTGCTCATATATTCTAAGAATCTTCGGATATACCTACTTCCTTTTATTTATTATTCTACCTTATACCTTATATTATAAATAGTACTATATTTCTAAGTAAATAAGAATAAGTTTAATATCTCTCTATAATATAAGAACTACTCTTAAGTATACTTAATATAACTCTTTTACTTATTAAGAAGCTAACTATATACCTTCTTATAAACCATCTCTCTTTAATCATCTTATCTTTTATATACTACTTTATTATATATATCATAATCACCCTTGTAGCCGAAGATCTATTTCCTACCGAAAACTACCTCTTTACTAACTGAATCCTATTAGACTATATATAAGATAACTATATACTAGATATAATCCTTTAATTAGGGATGCCCTATATCTATAAGCTCTCCTCCCCTCTATAGCGTATAATTTAGCTGATCGAAGGACCCTCGTCTAGGTGCCAGGATAGCAGCGATAACACTATATAAGTAAGAGGGCTTTCTAAAAGCGAAGGTTTTATTACTGGGAACAGGATTAAAGATGCGCAAGATCAAAACTTGCGCTATAAAGAAGATCTTGCGACGGATTTACTCCGAGGTATAATGGCATATTCGAATAAGCGCACCGCTGGATAATATTGATTGCCTCAAGGTAAGTCACTTACTACTGTTTAATATTAAGCATAATACACATCTACACTACAATAATCCGAATACTTATCGGATTGACCCTCGGGGGTAGTAACAGATGTCACAAGTAGCGTTGAGAAGATTCGTTGTAGACTTAAATCAGTCGCAGAAATAGAAAGGATATCCCGTGTAAGGCTCGTCAGGACTAGGAAAATGTATTGATTACCAATGGACCAATCATGCGAGTGCCTAGTCAAAGGGTCCGTATGTCGGTGGTCATAATAATTGGCCGTCGTAGTCGGAGGGAGATGCGGGGATCCTCTCGCAGGTCCCCACTAAGTCGGGGAGTCTCCGCCGCCAATACGTCGCTAGGAGCTGCGGAATGTCGGGACTCGGGGGAATAGCGCCCAGAGGTCCCATCGACAGCATAAATCGGATGTGAAAATATTCGAAGCGGTGGACTGCGCAGGTACTTATATGTAGTCACCGTAGGTCTGCTCCTGTTCTGTTGGTGTAGAGGTTACAGGCATAGATTTCCCTTTTTACGATCTTTCTTTTCCACCTTCATTATGCCGGAGACATTCGATGTAGAGCATGTTCTAGCGAACATCAGCGAGCAAGACAAGATCGCTCTCTTATCCGGTAACACAAAGACGGTAGTTTTTGCGGATCTCAGTCGCTGACAAAGGGCAGGAATTGATTTTTGGCACACGCATCCTATTCCCGAATTCAACGTCCCCTCGATTCGCGCCACCGACGGTCCTAATGGTGTCCGAGGCACGAAATTCTTTGCCGGCATCCCCGCGGCATGTTTGCCTTGTGGCACGGCTCTGGGTGCCACCTGGGACACGGATCTGATATACCAAGCGGGGAAGCTGTTGGGGGACGAGTGCATTGCGAAAGGGGCGCAGTGTTGGCTGGGACCAACAATCAACATGCAGCGTGCTCCCCTCGGTGGCCGCGGGTTTGAATCATTTGCAGAAGATCCGCATCTCTCAGGCATTTTGGCTAAATCAATCATCCTCGGATGCGAAAGTAAAGGGATCATTTCCACGGTGAAGCATTTCGTGGGCAACGACCAGGAACATGAACGCCGGGCGGTGGATGTCCTTGTCACCCAGCGAGCCCTGCGCGAGATATACCTACGACCCTTTCAGATCGTGGCGAGAGATGCAAAGCCTGGTGCCCTTATGACCTCGTATAACAAGATCAATGGGAAGCATGTGGTGGAAGATGCGCGCATGCTCAATCTGATCCGCGACGAGTGGAAGTGGAATCCGCTGGTTATGAGCGATTGGTACGGAACCTACACAACCATCGACTCCATGAATGCGGGTCTTGACCTGGAAATGCCGGGAGTGTCCAGATATCGGGGTAAGTACCTCGAATCGGCCATGCAGGCTCGCCTGATCAAGCAATCGACTATTGATGCACGAGCGCGGAAGGTGTTGGAATTTGTGAAGCAAGCGAGCCGGGTCCAAGTGTCAGACGTGGAGCGAGAAAGAGATCTCCCAGAGGATAGAGCGTTGAATCGCAGCATCTGTGCGAACAGCATCGTCCTCCTCAAGAACGAAGGCATCTTGCCACTTCCAAAGGAGATCCAAAAAATCGCCCTTGTCGGATCTCACATGAAGACTCCCGCCATATCGGGGGGTGGCAGTGCGTCGCTTGAGCCATATTACGCTGTCTCACTATACGACGCCTGCAAAGAAGCCCTTCCCAACGTGGAGGCACTCTATGAAGCGGGTGCATACGCCCATAAGATGCTGCCCGTGATAGACCGTCTCCTGAGCAACGCGGTCATTCATTTCTACAACGAGCCGATGGGCAAGGAACGATGTCTGATCAGTACCGAGCCCGTATCGACGACGGCCTTCCAGTTCATGGACTACTATGCCCCCGGCCTCAACCGAGGGCTCTTTTGGGCCACCCTGATTGGCGACTTTATGCCCGACGCATCCGGGCTTTGGGACTTTGGGCTGAGTGTCTTTGGTACTGCAAACCTCTACGTTGACGACGAGCTGGTGATCGACAACACCACCAACCAGACACGCGGGACGGCATTCTTTGGCAAAGGCACGATTGAGGAGCTGGGATCGAAGGAATTAGTTTCTGGGACCACGTACAAGATTCGGATCGAGTTCGGCTCTGCCAACACCACCACCATGAAAACAGTGGGCATGGTGAATTTCGGTGGCGGCGCTGCGAATCTGGGGGCCTGTCTACGGATGGACCAGGAGGAGATGATCAAGAAGGCCGTGGAAGCTGCCGCAGAGGCCGACTACACCATTATTTGCACCGGGCTCAACAAAGACTGGGAGTCCGAAGGGTTCGATCGCACACATATGGATCTGCCACCAGGAGTTGACCGGTTGATCTCGAATGTGTTGAAGGTCGCCGCAGACACGACCGTCATCGTCAATCAGTCCGGCACACCCGTTACTATGCCGTGGGCCGACCAAGCCCGTTGCATTGTGCAGGCCTGGTACGGAGGTAACGAGACGGGTCATGGAATTGCCGATGTCCTCTTCGGAGAGGTCAATCCATGCGCCAAGCTACCTTTGTCCTGGCCCGTGGATGTGAAACACAACCCGGCCTATCTGAACTACGCCAGTGTGGGTGGCCGAGTGCTGTACGGCGAGGACATTTATGCCGGTTATCGATTCTACGAGAAGACTGACCGACAGGTCCTCTTTCCATTTGGGTGAGTTGGGGGATTGGGCATCTCCGAGAGTCACTCATCTAATCACGTCTCCGCTAACTCGGAATCTCTAGTCACGGTCTATCATACACGACCTTCAAGGTCTCACCGCATGCGACCGTCGCCCCGGAGATCTTCCATATGGACCATCCTACGGTTGCCACCGTACAGATCCAAAACACGGGCAAACTGGCAGGTGCCCAGATTCTCCAGCTGTACATCTCGGCCCCCGAATCCCCAACCCCGCGCCCCAACAAGGAACTGCACGGGTTTGCCAAAGTATTCCTACGGCCCGGGGAGGAAAGGCAGGTTGCAATCCAGCTAGACCGATATGCGACCAGCTTCTGGGACGAGATCGAGGAGATGTGGAAGAGCGAGCAAGGGACGTACGAGGTGTTGATTGGCACCTCGAGCCAGGACGTGGTGGCTCGGGGTCAATTCCAAGTGGATCGCACCACGTATTGGCGCGGGCTCTAGTTCGATGCCGGCTAAATGGAGGCCCAGTCTCGGCTTGATTGGAGGAAATGCGTCCGCCATCATTCGCCAAGCCCCCATTACCAAGCAACCAAGCACCCAAGCACCAAGCACCGACATCCTCGTCTTGCTCATGAGCCATTTGGACCAACCTGTCTTCTTCTTGACCGTTCCGTGTCCGACTGACAGGAAAAACCCAGGGAGTTATGGACGCTTCGTCGATTGCGCGACCTCGCAAGCATTCTCGGGTGCTCACCGCATGCGATGCCTGTCGTCTCAGTAAGACTCGATGTGATTCCGCACGGCCCGTATGTGCCAAATGTATCCAGCGGGGTGTAGCGTGCGAGTATCCGGAGACGGATGCCATCTCAGTGTCGGTGCCCATAGAGCTCTTGTTTTTTTATCTCCCACTAGCCAAGGCATCTAATGACCACCAATTTCGATCTTAAAGTCTAGAGACATGGGGCGCAAGAATTCTAGACGCAGTAGAACGTCAAGAGCGACTTCTGTCGGAGAGCCTGTCGTTGAACATGGGGCCTCCTCTCCTTTCACAACGGGCGTCGCCATCCCCAGTGGACGAAGTAGATCCCGAGTCAATCTCGCGCAATGATGCGCCCAAGACGCCGATCACCGGGTCAGACATGATTCTCAGCTGGCCGATTTTTCCCAACGAGAAGCCAGTGTCAACTTTTCCCATGGCAGCGTATGCCGAGAAGCCGGATCGATTTCAGACGGGTATGGCCTTCTCTCGACGCATTCGATCCCCGATTTCGATACTAATGGGTGGGCTACAGCTCTCCCAAGCTTAGATCCGCAACGGCTCCTCGAACTGCGCGAGATTTTTATGACCAAGATCTGGACCAAGAACCCGATCGTGGACCGGGACCAGCTGGACTCGTATATCGCTCGAGTGCTGGAAAACGGCATTGACTGGTCCGCCTCGTCGTGCTTGGTACTCCTTACCTTTGCGCTCGCAGCCATCTGGGGGAATTATCCCGACGACGAGACCCGCGAGGTCTCGTATAGTGAACCGTCCTTTAGTCCACCGATCACTTACGTGACGATGTCGGTTCCGGAGCACCGACTGAAGGAATCGTTGACCTTCCTCTCCATGGCGCGAAAGCGCATTTCCACTGCGTATCTTGATGATACCTTACTGGGAGTGCAGTGTTTGTGTCTATTCGGGTGAGCTCCATTCCCTCAACTGCTTTGCGATATGGATGTCTAATTCTTTCCCCCGTAGAATTTGGTATCAATATAACATCGAGCCGATTCCGGGCTGGAAAATGTTCCGAGCGGCATCCATGCTATGGCAGACGTATCGTTTGAAGCACCGCGAGGGAAAGGCGATCAGAAGTGCGCAGGAGGAGAGTAGGTGATTGAATCTCTCCATTGCAGATCGTATCTAACTTTTCCCCTCCCCCAAGGTCTGGAGCAGCGACTCTATTGGACATGTTTAAAATCCGAATGGTATCACATACCCCAGAGACTCCTCCCCCTCATCTCATCGACTGACATACAATAGTGAGGTTCGATATGAACTGACGGATCTCCCGCCCTGTGACCTGAGCCTCTCCGACTTTCCTTATTCTCTCCCGAGCTTTCCCACGAGACAACCGTCCCATGACAGCCCTGGATGGATGTTTTCCAATCCCTCATCCACAGACCTCGAAGCAGCATCTTCCTATTACTATCTAGCCGAGATCTTCTTACGCAGGCTTCTCAATAGGGCCCGCAACGCTGTCCGTGTGCTCTCCCCCGATATTGATCTGCCGACCATCAAGGTTCTGGCAGAAACTCTAACGCAGTTAGAAGGTCAGCTCCAACAGTGGGTCAACTGTCTGCCACCTACACTCCGGTTCAACATGCCTCTCGAATCCGCCCCCGGGCCGAAAGAAGGTGAGCTCATGAAGCTCAGCCGTGAGCGATACGTCGAGGTCCGCGAGCTGCTCTGCCGCGCATATCTATACCTATGCATCCATGTCCCACTCGACCCCGGGATGGCGGCGCTGTATGGGGTCAAAGCAAGCGAGGCGCTACGTTTGGCAATTTATCGGATCCAGACCGAGGTGCCATTCTTCCGGCATCCAGGATCATGGGGAGCCTGTCGAGTCCGGTTCAACCATGCGCTTTGCCTGATTGCAGGATTCCGCGCCAAGTTGACGCAGCGCCCCTCGGCTGAATATGTGAGCATTCCTCCCGACTGGGCGGACTGTGTGCGGGCGGTGATTGAGCGATTGAAGATTTGGGGCGAGGAGGGCGGCGGGATCAAGGAGTTGAGTGTGCTACTGGAGTGGTTGATGCATGATAGCTTGGAATTGTAGAAACAAGCCCGGGTCCCCCCCCCCCCAAAAAATGTGTCTCTGTTCACCACGGCAACATCAACTCCGTATGGGAGAGCTGCTAGAGCTCCGTTTTTCTTCGAGTAGCGAACGACACGTTCTTACTCTTGGTTACTGCTGGGCCGAGGGGGTTTTCGGGGAGACTCCGCGGAGTCCCTGCATCCGACTAGCCTTCTTTAGGCTAAAATCAAGTGCCAAGAGTCTCGTGGAATTTGGGTGTCAGCAATCACCTTGTCATTCATCAGCTTGGAAGGCCAGAATCCTAGCTTTCTGGCTCCCCCCACAACCCCCGCGCCCCAGCTTCCCCGTGGGGTGAGGGGAAAGTATAATCCCTCCGGCGGGGACCGTACCCGGATTGTCTTCCTCGATCCGACCGAAAGGAGCCATCCAGGGCCCGTTTGTGCATAAGTTGACGGGTCAGACAGATCTTGGCAGTTCGGCACTGGACCAACGTGCCCTGTCAGGGGGTCTTACGCTTGGATAAAGGGCACGTATCGGATGGGAATACATATAAGACACGATTCGGTCCCAGTCTTCAAGGGTCCACAGATCAGCACAGTTGTCAGCATCCGAATATCAGCCTTTCAACATGGTCGTGGTGGGAAAGCAGCGCGAGGAGAATATTGCCGAGCCCGTGCTGGCTAACTTGCTGGCCGATGACCGTACGCCTTGGTACAGGAAGCCGAATCTCAGACGACTCTATTTCCTCTTGTTTCCGGCGTGCATGGGTATCGAGATCACCTCGGGATTCGACTCGCAAATTATCAACACGGTCCAGATTGTGTATACTTGGAACAAGTGTTCGTCTTTTTTTCCTCCAGGGATGAGCTGCAGGAGACGCTAACGGTACGAAATAGACTTCGGTCATCCAACCGGGAAGATCGTGGATGGACGCCCCCAATACGCGATTGAAGCGAACCTCAAGGGATTTTTGGGTGCTGCTTACTCCCTCGGAGCCATTCTCGCCCTGCCTTTTGTCCCATACCTCAACCAGCGAGTCGGACGACGATGGACAATCATGTTCGGTTCATGCGTGAGCTTGGTCGGGGCCCTCATCCAGGGTTTTGCCAATGGAGGTATTTACTTCTCTCTCTATAGTCTTTATGTGACATCATCTCTAATGGTTCTATAGTGGCCATGTACATTGTTGCGCGTATGATTCTAGGATTCGGAATCCCGTTTTGCATCGTGGCAGGGTCATCGATGCTGGGAGAGCTGGGTTACCCCAAGGAACGACCAATTCTGACCTCGCTATTCAACTCCTCCTACTTCATTGGCCAGATCATTGCGGCATCCGTGGGCCTTGGGACAGTGACCATTTCGTCCAACTGGGCATGGCGAATCCCATCTCTGCTACAGATTGCGCCCGCCTTAGTCCAGATCGCGACGGTGATGTAGGATGCTCCCCTGCCGCTATCCAGACTGCGACCATTAACCCTCGTCCAGGTTCCTCCCAGAAAGTCCCCGATACTTGATCAGCAAGGACCGCTACGATGACGCCTTTGACATCCTCACCAAGTACCACGCGGAGGGCGACCGCAACTCGGTCATCGTCAAGGCCGAACTGGCGCAAATTGATCGCACCATCAAGTTGGAGCTCGAAGAGTCAAAACAATCCTGGTGGGACATGTTCCGCACGGCCGGAATGCGTCGCCGACTGTTCATCTCCGCTTTTCTTGGCCTGTTCACGCAGTGGTCCGGCAACACGCTTATTACGTATGCATTCGTCCGGTGGCATCTGCTCTATATGCTCCTTTGGCCTTCGCTGATCCTTGTCATAGGTACTATCTGAGCGACATCCTCAATCTGGTCGGAATCACCAATAGCGTGACCAAGTCCAAGATCAACATCGGCATCGCTTGCTGGGGTCTCGTCTGTGGTACTGCATTGGCGCTGACGGCGCCTCGCTTCAAGCGTCGGCCGATGTACCTCACCTGCGCAAGTTGCCTGCTGTGTGTGTATATCGGATGGACCATCTCTATGGAGCGCTTTATGAGCACAAAGGCTGAAGCTGCAGCCAAATTGACAATCTTCTTCATTTTCGCATACTCGCCCGCCTACAACCTCGGCTATAATGCCCTGACCTACAGTGCGTGTGTCCCTTTCGTTTCATATCGTTTTTTTATTTATACTGACATGGACAAGCATATCTGGTCGAGCTGTTCCCTTACATGGGCCGCTCACGCGGTCTCTCTTGGTTCCAGTTCTATGGCCGCGGTGCAAGCTTCTTCGCCACCTACGTGAACCCCGTTGGTCTCGCGAATATCGCCTGGAAGTGGCTGCTGGTGTACTGCTGCTGGCTAGTCTTTGAGCTGGTGTTTATCTACTTCTTCTTCCCCGAAACTTCGGGCCGCACTCTGGAGGAGCTGTCATTCTGTAAGTGGTTTTTCTATGTTGCAGAGACCGAGCTAACGTAAGCAGTGTTCGAGGACAAAGAAAAGGCCAATGAGGTGGCTGCCGCCGTCCACAAACAGCTAGGTGAAGGTGACGAGAAGAAACAGGTCGCAGAACATGTGGAGGTCCAAGAGACCAAGAGTGCTGCCTGATGGTGTCGTGATAGCTCTCGTTTCAGAACAGTAGGATGAGTGTGTGGAAACAAGTCATCTGCTAGGTAGTTTATTGTTAATTTATGATATTACGCCATGCAACGCCAACGCCATTTCCATTGTCCATCAAACAAGATATAATTATGACATCTCACCCCATCCTTAGTTAATCTCAGCCTTCCTTGTTTTTCTCGTAAGACGGCAGCCACTGAACTTTCACCGCAAGGAGAAGAGCCCTTTTAGCCCGCGAGCCTGTGTTTATTCATGTTCGATTACGGCGATAATTACAAGGGGAGTTCCAAGGTCGTCACTATAGATAGAATTATATAAAAAGAAGGTGGAACAGCGCGCAGACCCTTCCGGACTATGTCTGAATAGTCACGCCTTTGCGGCCTGCAGCCTCTTCTAGATGAAACCCAAAAACAAGCCGATATAGGTCACGCAGCCAAGAGTACTGTCCATTCTGAGCCATTGCCTGGCATGCGCGCGCCACTTCGACAGCACCGACACGAGCCTGGGATCCAACATTGCGGAATACAGGATCAAATGCAACCAGCTTCCGATAGCTCTTCAACAACGAGGTTTGCCATGACGCCGAACCAAATGCATCCGAAGGGAGCGATTTCACAAATGAGGATAGATTTTGCGTGCCTCCTCGCTGATAGCCACTGTCCATAGCAGCCTTGGTGATCAACACTTTCAGGCGTGTGAAACTAGGATCCTCCGACATGGTGGTGACAGTGTTAGCTGAGGACGCCGTTTGCCCTGATGAACGCGACTTCTCAGAGACGTTGGAAACGTTGGAAGACCATGCTGAATGGGAAGTTGTGTGACCAGTACCATGCCCTAGCACTAAAATATTGGGAACGGACGCTTCATCGGGGGAGACTGTGGCGGTTTCGTCAAAAATCGTGGTCGGAGTCTCGGGATTTGGGCCTTGTTCTAGCAAGTCATCGACAAAATCAATTTCTGACTGCTGCGATACTTGCTGGAATGCCTGGGCAAATGTGGCTTGGCTTGGACGCGGAGTGCCCCGATCTGAGCTGCGCAAGCTGTTCAGCGTCCAGCCCTCACGAAAGATATCGCAAAGTTCCCAGCAGGCTTGAACTGCCGAGCCCAACAACTCTTCGTCTGGTTCCCTCCCTTCTCGTTTAGCCTGCCGAATACTGAATAGCATCTCGGCAAGCGCCCAACAGGCACTGAGAAGAGAGTCCGTTTCTGTTAGACGGGTTCGCTGTTTCATGAGCCGGTGACAAAGGGTTATGTAGAAATCCAATGTACGCTCACGGAATGCATCGGGTAGGTTGCGGTCGTGCGTGTTGTAGAGGTGATTGTTTAGTTCAAAGCTCACTCTCAGCACCGAGTCTGTCAGGTCGCTATCACAAACACGAACTTCGAACAAAGCCTGGCAGAATTCTCGGCATAAATCGAGCGTTGGAATTATTTGTGACCAATAGTCGTCGTCACGAGTGTCATATAGCTTCTGGCATAGTCGCCAACAGGATCGCCAGGCATCCTCTTGCATGCCGTCAGCGTGGGACTGCGGGAGTCTTTCTCGATTAATATAACTGAGGCTAGACAATGTATTGCAGAGGGTCCAGCATTCCGTCAGAGCTGCTCGAAGAGCAGTAATCTCCGCTCCTTTACTACCAAAGTATCCTGGCGGGAAGTCAGTTCCCACTTCTGAGGCCACTTCATGTGATTTGCATTCGCTACCTTCCGGTATATCTTTTCGGATCAAAGTTAGCGATCGTGGGGACAATATGCAAACACTAGAATGCTGGATCGCGCGGATTACCTTCTAAGCTGCTCGAACGTGTGCGTCGGCCAGATTCCTCGAATTCTTGCCTTGTTTGTGCCCGAGGAGTCGCTCTATCCGACCAATCCGGGACCGGCGTCACACTAGTAGTCAACGGGGGCGGAGATACGGGACTCGTGCCAGTCTTCCCGAACTTGTCATGGTTAGCGAGTACAAAGATGAAAGGGGATCTTGTAGGAACTAGGGCGTTAGCACCTTTCGCAAAGTGTCTGATCTTCCCGGCACCTCGATCAGGTGGGAGTGTTCTAATTTGCTTGAGGATGATGATTCCTCATTTTCGCAAGGCTCGTCAGAGGACTGTGACCTAACCTGATGGAGGATTAGTTTTCATTGACTTCAAATCCAAAGGGAGGGGAACTCCTTACAAAATCGCCAAACCCGGCCGGGGCGTGGATTACCGACTGAGGTGGTTCGTCCTCATCGGACCTTGCGACGAGTCCGTTCTGATGCATTTGGGCGGTTTGAATCTACATTGGTTAACACATGAAGCCTCAAGGTCTGAAGCTTGGGAAGCGGAAGGAAATTCCCTTGGAAGACTTATTTGCTCTGGAAACGATACATACGGTTAGTCCTGGAGGGGGTGATACACCCGCTCTTAGTCCTTGTACAGGCATCGCTGTCGTAGCTACTCCCTCACCATCCACCTTATCGCCAACCGCTTCGGTCTTCTCTGGCCGTTGGCGATCAAAGGCCGCCGATGAAGTATCCGCCATACTTGTGAAACCCGGGTCCGGGGGGAGATAAGCCGAGTTTCTTGTGTTGTCCGCGATCGAGGAGATTTCCACAGGCCTGCACATACATCAGCGACCGAAGGAGTAACGCTAGGATGGTGAACAAAGTGCTCTCCTCGCCAATCGCGTTTCTATCTTACATTGGCTCAGGCCCCGCAAAAGGGCTGGAGGGATCGCGATATGGCAAGACGGACAATGGCGCCCTGACGGCCATCATGGCCGAAGTTGTAGACGGAGGATCACAGAAGGACGGATGCGTGAGAAAAAAGAGATCCCGAGGGAGTCGGGACACCCAAGCGCAATTGAATGCGATCCCCCGCACAGGTGATTTCGAATGAGCTTAGGCCGCGCCCAGATAACTCATCGGCGTTACTTTCCAGGCTCTCGGGATTCCAGTATATATCACTCAGCCGCTGTTGGTGCCAATCGAGGTCTTTGATACGACCGTGGAGGGAGAGATGCGAACGATCCGCAGCTGGATAAGCTGGGCAAGTTGGAACTCCCAGCACCTGGGCAAAGAACCCAAAAGACGGAGGGAGCCAGGCGCCTGGGGCGTGATGAGCATGCATCTCGGGTCTTTGTATCCACTCAGACGCCGGGGAGCGGGGCCCTAAGCTCATCCAGCTAGACCACATGGGGATGCAGGGCGCTTGCAACAGCTCGGACCCCACGAATGACATTGAACCTTCTTCGGATCTCACTGGAACCACCTAGAATGCAAATTGGGGGCCAATCTTGATCTCATTGTGTGAGGAGGGGAAATCCGACGGAGCCTCGTTGGACTTGCAAAAAACTGTTCCACTGGATTGGTCGGAAGAAACGATCACAAACCTGCCCTACTGGCCCCAACTAGGCATAAGCTATTGGTCGCTAATCATTAGTTGCCATTGGTGTTGGTACTTCATATCTGGCCATGGCTTGACCCTGGCTTCGGGATTCGTAAACCGTAATGGATGAGAATGCTACTTTGACAGGAGCCTCCCTTCTGGGCGTGGCAGAATCGGCAATCGGAGGCAGAGACAGGAGGAAAGTAGTGGCAATCATCCACCATGACGTGGCTGAAGTCCAAGCCGGAGTGAATTTTCTACAAAGTACAAAGGGCCTCCATAGACGCCAAATTCCAAAAGTGTGTGTGAAACGCCTTCCCAAATGCATATGGACGAGGATCAAAACGCAGCCCGTCGCTAAAACCTTTTCCATCATCGTGTCCAGCCCACCCCGACTGACGGAAGAACCCTGTAAAACGTGTACAGCAATATCCTCTCACACGATCACTGCAGTCGACTTGAAACATTCCACCACGGACGCCGAGGGAGGGCGAGGAGCATTCCGCCCAGCCTGTTCTTGGCGAACGAGACTACCCAATTGTTGTGAAAAGGGCCGCGATTTTGGACGAGAATGAATTTTCTGGGCCAGCTAGTGCATGACCATTGCGTAGGTGCAAACGCCGGTGACTCCCCGGCCTGAGAGTAGAATTGATCGTGGAAGAGAGTCGTCAAAGAAAGAGAGAGGTAACGCTTAAGCCTGCGCATTGGCACGGTCCTTTTCGGCGGTGTTGTATCTAAACAGATCTGTCAGCCGATCGCCCGTCGTCTCCGAAGATTTACCTCATACCGAAGGAGCTTCTCGATCAGGTCCACATGGGTCATGATCATACGCCGGCAGCAGTAGCGGCGGCAACCAAGCTGGTCCATGGCATCACTAAAAAACCCGTTAGAAAGGTACAACACAAACGTGCACGAATATCAATGTTGGGAATCACATACCCATCAGCCACACCCTGGTCGAGGAGCTCGAGGTAGCGCTCCCAAAGGTCACCGACGACCTAGACAGTTATCAGTCAAGATCCTACCAAGCCGGATAGAGTCTCTTTACTCACCTTTCCACAGGAGAAGCAGCGCACGGGAATAATCATGGTGTACTTGTGGAACGACGTGGGAGGATCAGAGATAAAGGCGACGGGGCGAGGAAGATGCGGAGAGGATCGACCACCAAAAACGATGAAACTTTTCCCGCGACGGCGGTCAGCGGGACCTCTTTTCTGCCATGCGATACCGCCCCAATTTTGCTCAGAAAAAAAAAAGATGCGATAGACATTTCTCGAGCTTCGTCGGGAATTGATTGTCGGTACGCAGACTTCTCGGACATGACAGGTGGAATTCACACCTTTCCCCTCGCTATCTGATCAACCAGTCTATCTGACTCCCCTCAAAGGGACTTGCGCAATGGCTCCCAATCAGTCGGCACGACACCAGAAACGATCTCGGGCCAGCGATGCCGCAGAGAAAGTATCGCGGCCGGGCGAGGAGCGAAGCAAGCGGCGCCGTACCTCCGATGTCACCGATACTCAAAGCCCAAAGAAATCCAAGGCTTCCAGCGGCACGGAAGTTGCGCTCGTGACCAATGCCGACGCTCCATCAAAGGACTTGCAAGAGCGAAAGAGTTCCGCGCCATGGTCGTTTTCACGTCCCGTGGGCGGCCGCTACATCAATCTAGACCCAGTCATGACCACGGATGAGGCGTAAGTACACATCTCCTCTCTGCTTGCCAATGGGGCTGGCATCTAACGTATTATGATCCTTTAGATACCTCTTCCTGGGACTCGACGCTTCCGTCCAGGTCTTTGCAACCGCTACCTCTCGCCTCCTGCGTACCCTGCAAATGGAAGCCGGCCAAAAGGTGATCGGCTACCATCTGTGCCCCATCGAATCCGACATACTCTATATCTTCACTCCTGGCTTTGTGACCAAGTGGGACTGGGATTCTGGAAAGCGGCTAGCCCGCTGGGGTACTGATGCCACCACCATTGCTGTTGATCTCTCATTAGCCGAGAAGAAGGACCAGCTTGCATCATACTCTATCGTATCTCAGAAGGATGGAAAGAGGCAGATCTTGATCAACTCGTTGGGTGAAAAGAAACTACCCGGTTTATCGGTCCTTGTGACTAGCGAGCCGATCAATAGTATCAAAGTTGCTTGCGGAGGTCGGGTTATTGTCGCTTGTGATGGGTCCCATCTTTTCCTGGGTACCACCTCAAGTCTTGATCTCGAATCGCTCGATTCTACCCAATATACGTGGCGGGAAGCTGCCCTTCCAGCTCCTGCCACCTGTTTCCACTTGCGCGAAAATCTCGACAATTCTTCGGAATCATCAGCCCCGGTGGTTGACTTGGTAGTTGGTGAGACTGGCGGATACATCTTGATCTATCAGGACGTTCTCAGCACGTTGTTCGGTCGCTCTGCGGAGAAGAAATCAACTCCCCGGAAGTTGCATTGGCATCGAGGTGCTGTCAGCTCTGTGCGATGGTCGAGAGACGGTAAGATTGCTATTATCTGACAATTTGCCATTGGAGTATCAATGATCCTAACAATCTTTCACTAGGCAATTATCTCATCTCGGGTGGCCAAGAATCGGTCCTGGTGCTGTGGCAGCTAGATACCGGGCGAAAGCAGTTCCTCCCTCATCTCTCCTCCCCCATCTGCAACATTGTCGTTTCACCGAACGGAAATTCGTATGTGGTCAAACTGGCTGACAACTCGGTCATGGTTTTGTCCGCTCGAGAGCTGCAGCCTTCCGCCAACGTGACTGGCCTACAATTGAGCACTGAAATCACGAGCTACAAGGACACTTCTTCACGACGGTCTTTCGGTGCTGTTGCAGCCTTGCACCCGCAGCACCCCGAACGACTAATGGTCACAGTTCCCGCTTCTTACCACATCAGTCAACAGGGGCACCAGCGCCCAAGCTCTGCTGTTCTCCAGACGTTCGATATCCGCGCTAATTGCCACATCTCTCGCCAAGCTCTGGCACGCACTAACGCAACGACCTTGGACATTGGCCCAGATGGAACCCCCATCGTCGCCCCTGATGTCCGTCAGATGGACATCGTACAGGATGGGAAATGGTTGGCCACCGTCGATTCGTGGGCACCAAACCCTCAAGACCTAGAGGCTTCGACTTCGAGTACTTCCAAGGATGATCTGGGTTCGTCGCGTGCGGAGGTATTCCTCAAGTTTTGGAAGTGGAGCGCATCCGCCGACAGTTGGGAACTGGTGACGCGCATTGACGGACCGCACTATAGTGCTTCCCGTCATTCTACAGTCCTCGGCCTGGCGGCTCGTCCCTGCTCCCACGAGTTTGCAACCCTTGGAGCCGACGCATTCCTCCGCTTCTGGTGTCCAACGACCCGACACAGAAGTGGCTTGAATACCGATGTGTCTAAACAAAACCCCGACACTTGGAAATGCCGAACCATGGTTGATTTGAGTGCATCCGTCGACAATACCACCCGAGCTCTCGAGACAGCCTGTATAACCTTCTCTGAAGACGGCTCTGTCCTTGCTGTTTGCTTGCCTTCTCATTCTGGACCAGGCGATGGTATTATTCTTCTGATCGATGCCCGAGACGGTACTGTGCACTACCGCCGAACTGGGGTCTTCTTTGGAAAGCCCTTCTCCGCGAGGTTCCTCGGAAAATATCTGATTGTGGCTTCTTCCGGGTCCGTGGCTGTTTGGGATACCGTTGACGATGTCGTCAAGCCAATGGAACTCACCGAATCTACCAGCTCGACCGATGTGATGTTCCAACCGTTGATTGCGGTCAACACACGAACTGGAACTTTCGCCCTCGCTGTTCGCAGCGGTGGCAGCTCCAACAACCCCCAAAAGAAGCGACGCAAGGCTCGGTACCATATCCGAATTTATGATGTTCCATCCTTTGATCTCGTATTCCAAGAAACTCTTGGGTGCAGCCCCCTGGCACTCCTTTCAGACGCATTCACCGGCGATTACATCATTATCGATTCAACTGCCAGTGTACAGCGCCTCGGTTGCTTGGAAAAGGCATCGCAGAAGAGCACCCAGCCACAGGAAGTGACCAGCCAACTGAATTCAGGACTCGCAAACATCTTCAGCCACACTCATGAGCAACCTGCCGCGCTGCCCGATACTGAAGATGGCCATTCGACTTCTCAAAATAAGGCGCTGGCTACGGTGTTTGGAGAAACGCCGTCCTTCTCATTGCCTTCCATCGGTGTTCTCTTCAGGAATGTGGTACAGACACTGGGCTCAAGCTAAAATACCATTTTGGATTGGTAGGAGTTCGAGGTTGGGCTTAAGCTTAAATGTGATATACATGTGAATTAAAGCGATTCTTCAGTAGCCATTGTATCTATAACATCAATTTGGTAAACTTGGTGTTCACATATACCTTAACAAAAGTCATTACGGCCACTTGGTCTCGCGTTCTTGCGATTTGTTCATTGGAGCAGATTCGACACACACTTGTAGTATGAGGCCGATCTACTACCTAGAGAGCAGCCCACTATAAGTCCTCTATCAGCGGTGATGTGTAAAAATTATAATATCATTTACAGAGATTATTGACTTTGTGGAATAGCGAAGAAGAAAGGCATATTGGGAGCCGCACAGCCGGATTTGGACCGACACCTGCTTGATTTGAAGATATTTGATGTGTTTGTTTTTTCTCTTACAGAAGCCTATTGTTGACTCAACACTTTACTCGCAGCACTCTTTTCAATATTTCTAGCCAATGCAATAGAAACTGATGAAAGTGCGTTTTCTTCCGTATCCAAGTGATTCATGGATGCACGACAACGTCTTCGGGCCTGCTTAAATTTGCCCTACTGTGAAGACAAGCAGAGCCTTTCTCCCATGGACCTGTGCCAAGTACGCATCCAGCTCGTGATCCTCGTCAATAGGGAAGAAATTCTCGTTACCATGGTCATCCTTATCAACACCCTCAATCTTGCTAAGGATTGAGTAAGGATAGCGGCTAGTGATGATCTGGCGCACCTCCTCGACGGATCGAGTGGCAAGCTTATCCATCCAGGGTTTGGCTGGAGTCCCCTGGAGTTGACTCTGGGGGCTGCTTTGAAGCCAGACCGTCGTATTTAGTAATGTAGAATGAAGCATGGGGTCCATGTATTCAAAAGCACTCCCCGCCTCGTGTTGGGGGTTCGTCGAGAAAGAAGATGGGTCATTTGCTGCCTGCAGCAGAGAGGGATCAATCTGCATGTCACCAAGCTCGCTGGCGGAGATGGGAGCACTAGCGAGTGCCTGAGATGCGAGGGTACTGATCCCGTTACTGATTCCATTGTCCAGCATATTATGCACGGGTGTATTGTTGGACTGTGCGGTGTTCTGCGAGCTGGCCCGCGGAGTAGATCTTTTGCGAGCCGGATCTCGCTTTGTTTGGTCATCTCGCAACCGTTTCATTACGTCTCGACAGAGCACCTCCAAAGCTTTCAACTTGGATGCGTGTTCTGGGTCGGCGGATCCCGGCTCCAGAATCCGCTGGAGAAGAGGCGAATTATGAATCCATCGTGCCTTCAACTCCGCCCAATGCCCATCGCCCGCTTCTAGCTTGCTTGTGAAATGATCTGCCTTTAGGGTGTCGTAGAAGGCGTTACGGATCTGGCGACTTTCCTCCGGGTTGACTCCCAAGGCATTCTTGGCTTCGGCAAGGGTCATCCGCCGCTCCAATGTTCTCATTCGTTTTGTCACGTCCGTGCACACCACATCAAGAGCCAAAGCCTTTGCGTCGCGTTGGGTCGGCTCGGCACTAAACACCTGTTGTAGATGGGGTGATTCCTGAATCAATTTGTCCTTTGCGGCTTGCCATCGCTCCGGACCGGCAACGGTCTTTTTGATGAATCCGGCTTCCTCACAGATCCGTTGGAAGTGGTCTCTCAGCTGGCGATATGTCGTGTTGTCCAGATTAAGATACTGCTTGCTCTCATCGATTGTGGTCTCCGAGGGGAAGCGAGGGGGGCCAGGAGGATCAGCAGGCAAGCCAGCCCACCCACGAGTACGACGACGCCGTTTTCTAGAAGCCCATCGCTCTGCGCTCTCTGATTTCAGGCGGTCCAAACGTTCTTTGCGTTTCGCTGCGACTTCCGGTGACAGACCGGGCGACGAGGCGTGCTCTGCAGTCGTGGAACCGGGTTCGGCAGGTACGGAATCGGCACCCTCAAACTGCTCTTCTTGTTTGTAGATTTCCTGCTGGAGCGCTAGTAGCCCTTCATCATCTGGTTGTGTGTTCCGCGTATCGGCACTGAGTTGTGATTTCATCCCATTGGGCACGCGAAGTAGCCAGCGGTTCTTTGCTCGAACGCGCATTAACTCTCGCTCTTTGATCGCAAACCCCTCGTCATTCAGTATGCGGAGCATATCGCGTTGATTGGTGTTATGTTCCCATAGCTCCTTGACTCGAGCGACGAGGTCGACATTCTTGTGTGCAGGATTCTGTTTCGAGGGAAACCCCCATCGTTTGAACTGGGTCTGGTAGGCGCGCTTACTATTGAGGCAGCAAGCGTTAGGCCTGGGATATTCGGAGAGGTACTTTGGTAGCCCAACAAATCACCACGGAGGGTGAAGCTTACCTCGGTGCAAACTGATAAGCAGTTCTCATATATTCCATGATCTCCTCCAGGGCTTTCTTTTCCTGAATGTACATCTGGAAGCAGATATCCCGCTTCCCAGCCCAATCATACACCATGCTGGCAGAGACGCTCCCTCCAAATGGAGGCGCGTCTGGCGGGGAGGAGGAAATCCGGAGAAGTGATGGTGGAGCTCTGTTCTTATCAGGCGGTTGTTGTCGCTGCTGTGCGCCGTAGCGAAGAGAGAACGACGCTGGCAGCCCAGAGGCGACACTTGCGCAGTTTGGTCACGTGATCGTTGAGACAAGTATGGAGTAGAGTCACCATCGAGGGAAGGGCTTGGCTCCAGAGACTTATGTCCTGTAAACATCTTTGACTATTCAATTATGGAAATCAACTTATGAAAAATCCACTTGTATACTGATCCTCAGCTTCGTGATGTCTTAGAGAGCTAGCAATGACCAAAGGGTATAACCATGACATATACTATACGAAGTACCCCCTAGAGTAGAAGAGGAGCAAGCTGAAAAATGGGAAAAATTGCTAGATTCACTGTCGAGTCGATCCAGATGACCCCTTGCATATTGCAAAAAAGATAAGCACATGAAGATAAAAACTAAATGAGTAACTCCAGAATCCTCAAAAACACCGTGAGCTCACACTACAAGTGTGGCCAAAACTCCACTCTTGAATAGAGCTGCAAAATTGCCTGCATTGCAGAAAACGAGATCGCTAGATGAAAAGCATAAAGAAATGAAATGAAACACTCCAAGACTCAGCTCATCTTGCGGATTCGCCGACGGAATTTGAACACTCGAGTTCGAAGCCACGTCATGAAAAGCACCCAGGTGCTTTTCGACTGCGACTTCCATGATGTAGACGGCTCTTCGCCGTGCGTCTGCGCGGCCCGTATGGGGCTTTCATGATCTTCCTTCTTCTCGGAGAAGTCTTCACGAGATTGGGTAGGCGGAGAATTCTGGCCTTCGGATGTGGTGCGCTTTACCAGGCGCCTGGTCAGCCGCTCTTCCGCTTTGATCTGTTGCTTTTCGAGTCGGCGAGCCTTGGCTGCCTCTTTCTCCTCGAATGCCTGTCGTGCCGCCTGGATAGTTGCGGCTCGTGAAACCGGATCCGTACTGGTCCGCGTTCGACTCCGAAAAACAAAGTCGAGAGAGGGTCGCGAGATGGGCGACGCGGTGTCCACGGTGCTTCCGTTGTCACGTGAGTAGCCAAATGATGGCCGACCGGAGACGTTCGTCTGTGAGATTCCCGGTAGACGGGTAAAAGAATCGTCGTCGATTTGGAGTGACAGCCGTGGAATTGGACCCGAGGAAGCACGAGTCGTGCGGGGCGGCTCTGACCCCGACAGAATGTTCGCTTGGGTTTCCGGACTTCCATCTTCCAAGTCGTCGCTCTCGTTGGCCGATGTCTGGTACGACTGGCTCAATGGCGGGGTATACGCTCTAGGAGTTGGGCGCATCGGATACACGTACTGCGACCCCGGTTTCCCTCCGCTCGACCCAGTTGCGGTCGAAAATTGCGAAGTCCCACTAGTCGATCGGTGGTGCATGCCGGAAGTCGATCGGCGATATGTTGCGCTAGTCAGCGACTCACTTTGGCGGCGTTCTCGCTCTCGTTCGAAATTTAAATAGATGCCCAAGCCCTCCTGCTCGGTTGAAGAGCGGGAGAGGTCAATCGACTGGGAGGGTGGATCGTCGCGAGACATCTTTCGGAGCATGGGTTTGATATGGACTTTCGGTTTCACGTGCTTGCTCTTTTGAGAACGATGGTCGAGGCCGTCTGCAAAATCATTCGCTCCGGCGCTCGACAGGAACACGGTCGAATCGAATCTCCCTGCAAAGTCACTTGCAGTCGTTCCGGGTGTCGTCTTGGTTGAGCGCACAGAGCCGTGTCCTGTCGGCTCTGGAGACTGAGCTTGGTCGGAGTATTCCGGAAAAGGCAATGGCTTTCGCGACACATCAGGATCTATGTATGCCGGGACCAGGCCGGCGTTCTTCAGGCTGCCCCGATCTTCCATGCTCGAGGCTTTGGAGCCCTTCCGCACGTGGCGCTGGGACAGCGATCGTGATCCGGAGTCGATCGACCATCGGGTCTTGGAAACCGGGACGGCCGGATCCCGGCCATATTGAATGTCGGAGCGCGCCATGGAGATCGCACGCCCTCCGAACTCGTGTGAATGGGGGAGCGCTTAGGAACGAGTCGCGCTGCGCATGATTGTCGCGAGCACCGGCTGTTTGGGTACGGAGAGTCGGTTGTGAAAAAGGGTGGGTGGAGAAAGTTAGGAGGGTTGTCGGCGCAAACGAAGAGCCGCGGTATAGAGTCGCGAATAGGAGGTTTAGGAGAAGGCGCTGGTTTGAGAAATGGGCGAGACTATGGAGTTGTGGAGGAATGGATCTGAAGGGAAGTACAATGAAGCGGGGAAGAGGAAGAGAGGAGGTAAGCGCGGGGGAGGCAGTGATCACGAAGCTAAGGACCGTGTGTTGCGTGGGCGCATCTCCGATAAGCACAACTCCGCCCCGTAGTCCCGGGAGAAGAGTTCCCCCACGTGGAAGGTCAATCTGCAAGGGGAGATTTAAAAGAGGGGGAGTTCAAGCGATAAGAGAAGTGAGAGGGCGCTAGTAGTGAGTTGTTGTAGAAGGCAAGAGGGAGGTGGAGGAGAGGGAGAAGAAAAGAGTAGAAAGAAAAAATTACCCCGGTCCGACAAGAGGAAAAGAGCGCGAGGAGGATTACTGGGAGCGGTGAGAACTGGAGAGTCGACTTGAGGCTGGACGCATGCGGACGGCTCGGCGCGACTGGACCTTGTTGGAACGACTACTCCGCACTAGTTACGAGACTAAGGAGGTTAGTTCGGAGACTAACAATTGACAGATGGTGTGATAAATAAATCATTGATCATGATCACTATTCATCCAGGATATGAAAAGATCTTCTTCTTCTTTGTATTCTTATTTTACTCCCTCTACCATGAAAAGCTGTTGTATACTATACTTCCTCGGCATCCCCGTGACTTGGCCCGAGGTCTGGCCAAATTCCAATTTCTAACCTCCACAAGACACCCATGCTCGCAATCAATTCAATAAACAAATCCTATGGCTTTATCCTATCCTGATCATCATAATCGATCCGCGCTCTTCTTTCGATATGTATTTTCACCAGGCTGATCAATCGACTAATATCGGCATTGCTGAGTCTAGCCTATCGGAGTCAGCCACACCAGATGCATAATCCCAACCTGCCAAGAAGAGCCAAGAAAAGTACATCCCAAGAAACGACAACAAACCCCACCATCGGAGAGAAAATACCACGGAAACACAAACGCGAAGTGGGTGGGCCTGACAATCATAATAATACGAGAGCACTCGGAGACCTCGTGTCCAAACTTTACTTTGTCTCCTTGCCTCCCCCTGAGAGCTTGATTCTATCGACGTTGAACCCGACACATTCCTGCCCCTCTTTCCACAATGGCCCTGTCTCTACAGAGCTTGGGCTTCTCCCTCCTGATCATCCTTGCCATTTCGGGCCAGGCTTATGGTTTTGGTGCCGGAAATATCGCCTCTCTCTCCAAGATTGAGGGGCAAAACTGGCGTCACGGAGATATTGAAGATGCCCTCTTGACTCTCTTCCTGGCCCGTGTCGCCGGTGGACGCAAGTTCAGCAAGCTGGATGTCAAGCGCGTCTATTTTGGTAACTGGCTGCGCGATTACAGTCAGGCGGTCGATGTGGGCACCGTCAAGCACGTCAGTGCCGAAGCTATTCGCATTCTCATCTGGGTCCTGGGCTTTATGAGCTTTGGGTAAGTCGTTGCACCAACAACACCCCCACCAAAGAAAAAACCAAAAAAAAAGATACTCGCTCTAAACTAAGACTTTTTTTTCGGTTAGCTATGGCACTCGCGAATTTGAAGTCACTACCGAACGCTTGGGGTGCTACCAGCCCACCGAGCATATCGATAACCCGTTAGGCTACGCTGAGGGTGACGATGCCCGACGCTACGACCGTCGTCTTCGTGGACCCGTTGACGAGGAGCGTGAGCTATCCATTGACACGCAAACTGGTATGTGACGTAATTCTCGTTTCTCCCAAGAATATCGCGTATCGTACAGCTAAGCATTTGCCTTTCCTTCCACCAGGCCTGAAAAACTACATCGCATCCGAAGACCTCGGTATTGACACCTCGGCTGCCCTGATCCGCCGTGTTTTGGGTCAATCGATTCAACTCGGCCGTCGCTATGCCCGCTCTCGCAACGACGACGATCTGCACGAGGCCCTGCGTCTTCTCGGAACCGGTCTGCACTGTCTGGAAGACTACGCTGCCCACTCCAACTACACGGAACTCAGTCTGATCGAGCTCGGCGAGAGGGGTGTCTTCCCTCACGTCGGCCGTAACACCAAGGTCCAGATTCGCGGGGTCCGCGAAGAGGTCTATCCCATCGTGACGGGCACTTTTGGTGGAGTTGACTTCTTCCACTCGGTCCTGGGAGAATTCTCGGATAAGACCAAGCAGTCCGAACTTCAGTCCCTGGAAGGTGTCATCTCCGAGTCCGAAAATGAGGGCCCGTCCAAAAGCATGCTGCAGGATTTGCTCAGCAAGATCCCCAGTGGCCTGATTGGTAGCAGCGATGACCAGGCCGGCAAGATGGATGACTTCAAGACCAAGGCAGACAATGCCCGCCATGATACCCAGAACGTCAGCCCCCGTCAGCCAGAGGAGTGGGCCCAGTACGTGAACAATGTCCAGAAGCAGATCTACCCCGTCCTTGAGTGGCACGATGAGCTGCTCAAGAGCATCAACGAGGCCATCGAGAATATTCCCGTTCTTCCGGATCTGATCGAGCAGATTCAAGACGAGATCACCGTCTTTGTCTTCTCTGTGATCGCGCCGTACATCCTGCCCCTTATCAAGCAGGCCAAGTCAGAGCTGGAGACGGGTTCTTCGGAAGTCATTCAGTCCAGCCGGGATCAGCAGCACATTGTGTTCAATGATGACAACTCCTCGAACCCCACCCACTCGATGCTTTCCAAGGACCACTTCTCCAACATCCTCAACGAGCCTGCTGGACGAATTGCTTCGGAGGTGGTCAAGTGGACCGTTCCTCAGCTGATGCAATGCTGGGACGATGAGAGCATCGACATTGACCGAACTTTGAACCGAATCATCACCGGTGTGTTCCACCACCCCGCGCTGCACAGACACGGCGACGACGGCGCAGCCGACATTCGCGGAATCATGTTCTCCACCGTGGAGCAGTGGTGGAGTGGCAAGAGCGAACGGGAGCGCGAGGAGCTTCGCGACCAGCTGAGCCGCGAGGGCGTCCGCCAAGGCCGAAACCACAAGGAGGGTGTCCAGGACTGCGGCCATGGATGTGGAAAGCCCCTCGCTCTGCCGACGAAACATGGCAAGACTGGTGGTGGCGGCGGCGGTAGCAGCAGCAGCGGAAACTACCAGCAATCTACTGACAATGGACTGGGTAAGATCGCTGCTCAGGCCGTGGGAGGAGGCGCCCTCGGCGGTCTTGTCGGTGGTCTCGTAGGCAGTGTAGGCTCCATTGTCCTGGAAGACGGTGGCTTGGAAGGCCGAAGCAGCCCGAAGAGACAAAAGAGCCCGAAGAGACAGAAGAGTCCCAAGAGAGAGAAGAGTCCCAAGCCCCACAGATACGGTGGTCGTGATGACGACGACGATGACAAGCACGAGCACGAGAATCGTCGACGCCACCATGAGCGTCGCGAAGAGCCCGAGACCCAGTCATTCGGCTATGCGCCGCCACCTCGTCAGGGAGGTTACGAGTATCAGAGTGAGTCGACGTACGAGGAGCGTCCGACACATCGCAATGATTATGGCCGTGATGAGCGTCCGGCACCTCGCAACGACTACGGGCGGGATGAAGTCCGCAATGACTTTGCTCGCAACGACTATCCCCAGCAGGACACCTACGGCGAGTGTCCTCCTCCCCCAAACGACTTTGCTCGAAACGACTATCGCAGCGACTTCCCTCGCAATGACTTCCCACCGAACCCACCTCCGATGCAGAGCTACCGGCGCGAGGAGTATCGGGAATCCCAGCAGGGCGAAGGAGGCTACTACCAGCAGGAGAGCCGACAGACCTACGAGTCGGGTCGAACCGAGTACCAGCGCACTGAGACGCGCTACGACTACGGCGCGCCGCAGCCTACCTACGAGACCATGCAGCAGAGCAGCTTCGGCGATGGGCGCGTTGAACGGTAAGTCTTGGCTCACAAGATGCTTTTTTCTTTAGTATATTGGCAAATGAGGGGTATTGATTATATTCATGTCACAGGGAGTACTCGTCTGGATACGGTGCACCACCACCGCGCGGAGAGTATGAAGAGGAGTATGGGCGGCCTAGCTTCCAGCCACGGGAGGAGAGCTACAGCCAGGGCTTTGGCGGTGGCAATGTGGACATTGTCGAGCGCCGACCTCACCATGAGCGCCATTCCAGGAGAGACTCTGGGTCTGGCAGTGGTAGCGAGGAGGAAGGTCGTCGCAACCGACACCATCACCATCGTCGCCGCTCGGGATCGGGATCGGATTAGACCGTCCAAATCTGAAGTGGTCTAGATCCTACATGCGGGCTTGCATAATAGGCAGGATAGAGAGAGATATTTACCATTCCTTTACCTCGCCCGGAGCGGGCTGCTCGGTGCGGACAACCTTGTCGCAGTTCAGCAGACGGAGAGGGTCATAGGCCAATTTCAGCTAGAAAGGGTAAACGGATATGTTAGTTTTGTGATGTGAGAATGACAGAATGTGCGTTATTTGTTTTATTCAGACTTACCCGGCGCATAGCGTCCACGGTAGACTCGCCTAGCTCGTGAGCAAGGTAATCGCGCTTGACCAGGCCGACGCCGTGCTCGCCGGTCACGGTGCCCTCCATTTCCACGGCCCGCTTGACCATGCGGTGGACGACGCCCTCGGCGATCTCCTTTTCCTTGTCGCTGAAGAGGATGATGGCTGGAAAAACAGTTAGATCATACACGACCGAACGAGCACCGTCGTCTCAGGGACTCGTATAGATGGGAATGCTACTCACCGTGGAAGTTACCATCGCCAACGTGACCACAGATACCGGCCAATAGGCCACTCTTGGTCATATCAGCCTTGGTGGCATCGATGATATCTGGCAATCTGCTCATGGGGACAGCCACATCAGTGGTCCAGACGTGGTCGTCCGGGTTTCTACGCATGGCCATGACACTCCACAGAGCAGCCTTGCGGGCGCTCCACAATTCAGCCATTTCCTCATCACCGCGGGCAAACTCAAAGGACTTGCTAGAGGTCTTGGAGGCGATCTTCTGCACCATACCAACCTGCTCTTTAACAGCGCCAGGGGTACCAGCGAAACGGAAGAAGATGGTAGGAGATTCCTTCCACTCGCGGCTAGTGTACCCACTAGCGTTGATGCACTTCATCTGCACGTCGTCGAGAATCTCAACACCTGCGACGGGAATACCCGCCTCAACGACGTGGGTGACACACTCGGCGGCATGCTGAATGCTGGGGAAGCTAGCGACGGCAACGCTCTGGCTGGCAGGTTTGACCGTCAACTTTAAAGTTGCCTCGGTGATCAGGCCGAGGGTCCCCTCGCTACCGATGAAGAGTTTTGTGAGGTCATAGCCGGCGCTAGACTTACGTGGGCGCTGACGGGTCTTGATCACCGTTCCATCGGCCAGGACGACGGTCAGCGAGAGCACCCACTCACGCATCGTGCCGTAGCGGTAGGCATTAGTGCCGGAGCACCCGGTACCAACCATGCCACCGATCATCGCACCGGGGCCGGGGTCCGGGGGGAAGAACAGGCCGTCCTTAGCCAGCTGCTCGTTCAAATCCTCCCAGCCCACGGCAGGCTGGACCACGACGTCCAGATCGCGCTTGTGGAGGTCCAAAATGCGGTTCATGCGGCGGAAGTCAATGCACACACCTCCACGCGTGGATGCAAAGTGGCCCTCCAGACTGGTACCACCCGAGTACGGGGTCACGGGAATGACACGCTGATGGCAAACTTTCATGATGCGTGAGACCTCCTCGGTAGAGGCAGGATACAGGACGAGGAAGGGCTTCTCGTCCTCCTTGCGAGTATAAGATGACCAGTCAGAACCGGCATGGGTCTCGAGATCACCGGGGGCGGTTGAGACGTTCTCTTTGCCGAGGATTTCGACAAAGTCGGACCAAGCGGCTTGGAGATTGGACTGGGAGACATTGTGCTTGGGAGGCTCGAGGTCTGCAAGGGTGGTCGTAGAGGAAAGGGGCAGGGCAGCCGGCTTCAGCGATCCGAGGTAGTAAGCACCGGAGGAGAAGAAGATGAGGGCTATCAATTGCGACAGAGGATTGTTAGCAACGGCGATTGAGACTATTTTTTTAGACGAGCCGGACGTGAATTTCCAGGAATATGAGAATCGGTGGCCATACCGAACATCATAGCAGCGTAGCGGCCACCAGATGACTGAGTCTGAAATTGGGCGTAGCGCTCCTGCTCAGCGCGTTCGCGCTTCAGGCGCTGCTGAGTGCTCTCATAGAGCTGGCTCTTGAAGGATGCTTGTTGCTTTTCGTTGGCGCGGCATCGGGCCGAGGCGGCGAAGAGTCTTTGCTGTGTAATGCCTGTCGATGGGCGAGACTGGATGGTCCGTAGAGCTCCCCGTAGGACGGAGCTATGAGGGTGAACCATGGTGGCGCGTGAAGAGCGAGCTGCTTGAGAAAGGAGGAATTGAAGGAAGCGGAGAAGAAGTTCGATGACGCTTCGGGCTTGGCGTGGGTTTGCTCGGAAAGACTGGGCCGGGAAGTGGGCGGCATCACTCACAAGGGGGTTGAGCTACACTTATGATAGTACATAGTTCAAAGAATGATTGTTTTCAATCTATAGGGTGCCCTTGGACTGTGTTGATTGTACTATCTCCGGTCGGGCCAATTGGTGAGGCTGTCCGCTCTAACGCGGAGTAGTTATAGTATAGTAGATCCGTATAGCAGATCCATAGATCAGATCGAGAGGTCCATTCCCTCGAATCAGCTGTCAAAATTAGCACTTGGGATTTACAACCGAACATTACTCATAATATATATATATATATATATATATATATAAGCTTATAATGGATCCCGGTCAGGCTGGTCAGGGGATATTACCCGTCCTCGTGATCTAATCTAGACAACTGTACAGTTCTCCACCTGCACCTGTACAGTCACTATCGAGTGTGTCCACTGGTCAGACACAAGTCTAGAATGTGCAGAAACAACGTCCAACTGGTAAAATTTCCCTTTGGTCAGCTGGACAGGGTGGGCGCAGTGACCAGTGGTGGATTGGCCCTTAAAAGGCAAAATCGGGTAAAGGGCCTTTGCGGTTAAAATCCCAACTGGATCCACCCGGGGAAAGTCGCCCGACAACGTGACCGAGTTTATTACCAGAATCCGTTTAACCTGACTTTTGCAAGTTGCAAAAAAGTCCATGCGGGGGAGCTCCCAGCTCGGTTCAATCCCATTTTTGCCGGTTCCTTGAATACACAATACTCCTTGCCATCATCCATATATCTTCCACCCTTCTCCCTCTTTCTTAGTCTCCATTCTTCTAAAATCATTCCCGTTTTTTCTTTCTTTTCTTCTTCAATCCCCTTTACATTCATCCCACTTCTCTTCCACCATGACGGCATCCGAGACCGCCCAGGTAAATGGCTAAATGCGATCCGCCCCGCCTCCACCCCGCCACGACCAAGTTCAAACCCCCCCAAAGCTAACGAACACAATAGAACCTGTCCTTTGTCCTGGAGGGCATTCACAAGGTCAAATTTGAAGACCGCCCAATCCCCGCCCTGAAGACCCCCTACGATGTCCTCGTCAACGTCAAGTATACCGGAATTTGCGGCAGTGATGTATGTAACACGAAATGCTGTCATGCTTATACATAGCATAAACTAGCAGTCAACGTACGAGGGGACGAGAGACTCAAGATTACCATGAAAATCGAAAAAAGCTAACCTCGCAATCGCTTGTTATTAGGTGCACTATTGGGAACACGGTTCCATCGGTCAATTCATCGTCAAGGACCCCATGGTGCTGGGCCATGAGTCCGCCGGAGTGATCACCCAAGTGGGCGCGGCCGTGACGACACTCAAAGTCGGCGACCGCGTCGCCATGGAGCCCGGCGTTCCCTGCCGACGATGCGAGCCCTGCAAGGCTGGCAAGTACAACCTCTGCGAGAACATGGCCTTTGCCGCGACCCCGCCCTACGACGGTACCCTGGCCAAATACTACAACCTCCCCGAGGACTTTTGCTACAAGCTTCCCGAGACTCTCTCGCTGCAGGAGGGTGCTCTCATGGAGCCGCTGAGTGTGGCCGTTCACATCGTTCGCCAGGCACGGGTCGCCCCCGGCCAATCCGTGGTGGTCTTCGGTGCCGGTCCCGTCGGACTGCTATGCTGCGCGGTGGCGACGGCTTTCGGTGCTTCGAAGGTCATCGCGGTGGATATCCAGCAGTCCCGCTTGGACTTTGCCAAGGAGTACGCGACCACGTCTACTTTCATGCCGTCCAAGGTGGCCGCCACCGAGAACGCAGAGCGCCTGCGCCAGGAGAACGGTCTCGGCGCCGGTGCGGACGTGGCCATCGATGCCTCGGGCGCCGAGCCCTCGGTTCACACCGGTATTCACGTCCTCCGCAACGGCGGTACCTACGTGCAAGGTGGTATGGGCCGTAGCGAGATTCAGTTCCCTATTATGGCAGCGTGCGCCAAGGAGTTGACCCTCCGGGGTAGCTTCCGCTATGGTAGCGGTGATTACAAGTTGGCGGTGGAGCTGGCCTCGACGGGCAAGGTGGATGTGAAGAAGTTGATTACGGGGACGGTCAAGTTCGAGGAGGCCGAGAATGCGTTCAAGGAGGTTAAGGCTGGTAAGGGTATTAAGACGCTCATTGCCGGTATTGATGTGTAAAAAAAGAACACCAGGGATGAAGAAGCAAGATATGAATTTATAATGATTATTTCAAGTGAGACCTGTCTATGGGTCATGAAAGAATGAAAAACTGGTTTAACGTGTTCCCGAATCACTCTTGAACCTAAGAGACTAAGGTCTGTTGACAACTCGGCCGGTCGAAGCTATTCGATGTATAGCAGATCGTCGGAACCAGACCAGCTCCAGACTTGCCAGAGATGGTGGGATTTATGATCGAATTCGAGGGTAATTCTAAGGTGACTAGCAAATAAGAATGACAATTCTTCCCAGAAAGAACATACAAATTATATGCCCCTGTATCTATACAATGTACACGGGCCAGCGCTAACACGATATCCATACAAGGCAGGCACGTCAGAGGGCATCTGTCAACAAAAAAACAGTAAAACTCATAGAACGAACGTCAGAAAGGGGGTATCGTGCAATGACGGAAAGGAAAGACAGATTAAAAAGAAAACCCAAAACTCAAAAAGACCACGTCCAGCCTGCTCCTCAACCACGATGGTAAGACGAGCCATGCCTAACAGCACCCCCGATTTCTCCTCGACGACGAACCACTGAGCCGGAATACATCCTCCCACTCTCTCATCCCACCCTTCCAACCCGAGCTCGGCCTGCCTCGTCGCCTAGAGGGTCGATGCAATGATAGTGCATTCTCATCCAGCGTAGCCCGACTCCGGATACTCGAAGCATCGCTCGCACCGTGGCCATACATGCCTCCATCTCCGTACTGAATCCCGCTCTGCGGATCATCCGGGTCGATTTCACCAAGCTCAATCTTGGTCAGAATAATACGGGCTAGCCGTTGAAACACCTCTTCCACGCCTTCACCCGTTAAAGCAGAGATCTCAACCGCAACGGGGATATTAGACTGCGCGGCCCAGCGCGCGGTATCATCCTTACTAACCTCGCGACCCTCGGCGAACGAGGCAGTCATTCTCGTCCCGGGACCTAGGTATGTCGTAGAGCGCACGGAACCGGTCACATCAAACGGGAAGGATGATTGTTTACTCGAAGTACTCGACGGCGTCGGCGGGGGTCGGTGTGCATCATCGTGGTAGTCGGATGAAGCGGTCGCATCTGCCAGGTCCGCTTTATTCCCCGCCAACAGAACGGTCAGATTCGGCGAAGCGAGTGCGCGCGCATCCATCAGGAAGGTCGGGAGGGCAGCGAAAGAAGCGTAGGAGGCCACATCGTAGATGAGAATTGCCCCGGCAGCGCCGCGGTAATAGGAGCGCGAGACGGATCGGAACCGCTCGGTGCCGGCGGTATCCCAGAGTTGGAGCTTGATGCGCCGGCGACGAGAGCCCGTGCCGAGCTTGACGATGCGCGAGGCGAATTCGACGCCGATGGTTTGTGAGGAGAGGACTCGCCCTTGGAAGGAAAGTTAGCGAGGGATGCTTTAAGTCGAGGGGAGATCGTATGCGATAGAACAGGGAGGTTCCGTACATTCATTCTTCACGAAACGGTGTAGCACACAGGACCTGATAGAGAAAGACGAGCGATTAATGATCTGTTCAGGGCAACTCTCCTCGGAATCAACTGGATACTGGGAAACAACGATACTTACTTTCCTGCACCACTGGGACCCAACAAAATCACCTTGGCGAGGTAATCATACATACTCCCCAGTTCCTAATCCATGCAAAAGTCCCGAGTTAATGCGACCATTGCGGGGTGGAGGTGAGCTATCCAGGGGCCGGGCTGGGGAAGGGATGCAGCGTACCTGATCCTGGTCGGGAACCGAGGAGACGGAGGAGGAGTTGGAAAGACCCCTCGAGCGCACCATGGCGCCAGATTGGAGAACGGAGAGGGCGTGGGCCGTTGGAGGGGAAGAGAGTGTTTCTCGAGAATCCTTTGATCGTGTTGACGTTGGTTATGGGCTTGGCTGCCCGAAAGTGAAGGCGCCGACCGCCGAGGATCGGGGCGGAGATCGCATGTGGGCCTTCTCATGGATCACGACTTGACTAGTGACCTTAGTGGTATCAACTAAGGAGAACTGGATCTTTTGATCGTATGTGCGAAGGACTGTCTGATCTAATGTTTACATTTACATAGTATCCAAGTTTTCCTAGATACTGCACCTTGACTTGGGAATGTGTATACGCCTTTGTTCAGAGTGGCAGCTCAACGGGTATTTCGGGTTAAAATACGATTCAAAGGATGAATACAATTCAATGATGGCTTAGCAAAGGTAGCTCATTCATCCCCACTCATTCACCGCTCCTAGCCCTCTTTTCTTGGCGCTCTTTGTTCCCGTATTCAGCCTCGCATTCAACTAGTTAGTAAAATTGGGTACGTATTGATAATCATTCATTGGAGCCCAACAAGGCTGAGTGCGAACGGGGCCTGTCAACTTTGCAGCGACAAGGGAGTATAGTTTTGTTCCAATGTATCGGGGTGGACGGAGTGCCTACGGTAGATTGATGTCATACTGTAGTAACAACCACTACGATACACGACACGAGGCGATGCATCTCCGGTACCCACGGGAAGATGATTGATTCTCTCAAGTATATACCAGATTTACAGTACTCATTTGGCCACCCTATGGTGGGGTTATGATGATCAGAGCGATCATCAGCGGGTGGTCGCGATCAAATACCCAAACGAAATGTGCGTACGATGCAGGGTCCTGGAATGTCGTCATTGCCGAGGGGCCGGATGGCAGTGCCTGGAGATTCAGGATGTAATAGAAAATGTATGATCGATCGAGTATCACTTTCAGGATATACTATAGGGGATGTTATACACTGTCCAACTGGTATAGAAGATAAGCATCAATATGCACCTCAAGGGGTTCTAGAAGGGACAAAGAAGCATTAGTCGCTGTTTGATGGAGTTCATCAAAAACATCGAATGCAAGAAAGCAGCATCTCTGGAGTAGTAGAGTGGCGCAGTCGTGCTTTAGTCCAATGAAGTACCGTACATAAGACTCAGGGTTGGTCCACAGACCAGACTCGTTCGGTATCTCCGGAGCAATACGCCGCATCGTATGTACGGTCCCCCGATCCCCTGTAGCAGACCGACAGTAGGAGTATAAGTCTACCGTATTCATTAGTGATGTGGTCATTCTGTAGTTCCGTACTACCAGATACGGTATGATCGTAGAGTCTGCGAAACGGGAACCAGATGGCTAAGCCTCCGCCATCAGCCTTGCCCTCACAGCCTTCCCGCCTCTAACTTTCGTATTCGCTCCAGGTGGCCACTCCAAAGTTTCCTTTTGAGCACCAGCACCAGCACCGTTGCTTTGGGGCCCTTTGGGCCTGAGGCGGTGCCGGCCCGACCGCGGTTTAGTCTCCGCCCGTTTAAGCCGCGGAGACCCTGTTTTTCTTCTCGAGTCGTATTCTCTTTTGCTTATATCTCTCTGCACCCTTCCCCCTTTCCTTGGTTTCTTGTGTACCACCCGGGTTCAAATCAAAGTCCCCCTCACTCCGATACAGAAGCACTTATCCACATTTCTGAGATCTCAGATCTGACATCATCTTCACTATGAAGTTGGCGTGGGCATCTACGGTCCTTCTCCTGGGCTCTCAAGGCGTGACCTCCTTGTCTATTCCTTTCACTTCTCAATCCGATCTGATCGAGCGCAATTCCAATACCGACTTGACAACTTTGGATGCGCAATTTGTCGACCTCGAAAAGCGACGCGGCGGCGGAGGTGGCGGTGGCCGGAGTGGAGGAGGAAGCTCCAGCTCCAGCTCCGGCTCCAGCTCTGGTTCCAGCTCTAGTGGTAGCAGCAGTGGTGGCAGCAGTGGAGGCCGTTCTGGCAGTTCTTCCTCCTCCAGTGGCAGTACGAGTTCGTCTAGCAACCGAGGCGGCTCATCTAGCGGAGGCTCTGGGGTTACCCCATCCTACGGCGGCGGCAGGTATGATTCCAGCAATCCTTCTCAGGGCACAACCTTTGGCTCCTCTAGGAGTGGTAGTAGTGGTGGATCTTCGTGGCCCTGGATGTGGGAAACAGGCTCTAGTAGTGGCGGCGCGAAGACCCCCAAGACGAAAAACCAAAAGCCCTTGAACACGATCACAGAAGCTAAGACAATTCGGCCACAACAGATATTATGCGGGCGGTGCCCGATCACCTTACACCGCCGGCGCCAGATCCACATCGGGCATTACGCCTTTCCTCTTGCCAGCAGCAGCACTGGCGTTCTTCCCCGGTATCTGGCTCGCGGGCGCGTATGCCTACAATTACCCCCATGGATACAACTATCACAATAACACCAACAACAAGAACGAGTCGTTGCCCGTGGTCTGTCTCTGTGAAGAGTACCAGGAGTGCGGCTGTGATGATAACAACAACAGCACCTACTACGAGTCCCTGTTCAACGGTACTCAGCCGCGCAACACGTCCATGGTGCGGGTGGCCAATGTCAATGGCACCGAGAAGATCGTTATCAACGGGACTTTGGCTAATGGCACGACCACCGACGACGGCAGCTCCAGTTCCACTTCCTCCTCCACCTCCACCTCGGGAGCCGCTCGGGGGCCTCTGGTGACTCTGATCAATGCTAGCGGGTACTGGGTGATGGTGGCCGTGGTGATTGCGACCGTGTGGTCCTTCTAAGCTCCCAGATTCTCGAACGACCGATGATGGACAGGATTGTATGATTGTATTCTTTTTATGACCCGCAAGTTGTTACTTTTTCTCCCCTGGTTTTCCATGCCTTTGCCGTTGGCCGGATGTTATCGTTACGGCGATTCCCTATTTTGGAAACATGCGCCGGTTCTTGGCTGCGACGAACGAACCGAGTGCCAAGCTTTTCTCTGACGAGCGTTTTGGGGCTGGCTGTTTGTTGCTTTTTTTGTCATTCCCCTGGGATGCTCTTGATACCCCCCGTTTATATCCTGTAGATCAATCCAGGTTGATGACCGAAATCCTGATATGATCACTCTTTTCACAATACACATTAATTAGATCGGAAAAGAAATCCACCAGACCCTGAAGGTCGAACCCAATCGCTCCGTGTTCTTTTTAATTTGGACATTCCGCTGGTCGGGCGGGTTACGTCTGCAACAGCCTGCGCTAAACCCAAACGGGATAAGTGGCCCCCTCGAAAATGGGGCCCTTCATTTCCCATTTCTCACCTTTTTGGCCCTTTTCCCTTTCCCTTTCCCCTTCTCTTCCTGTATAAACCTCTCCTGTCTTCCTCGAAAGCAGTGTCATTCGTTTCATCCTCATATCCACCTCCTTTCCAGACACGGGCTGTCACATTCGTTTTCACCAGCCCCATTCACTCTTTTCCAATCTTCGGATCAATAAATAATCTACATCAATATCAACACCAAACACCAAACACCACACACATCCCATACCACCACCACACCACAACAATGCAGTTCTTCAAGACTATCCTCCTCCTCGCCTCGGCTCTCGTGCCCATGGCCTTCGCTGCAGAGCAAGCTGCTACCACTCCCTGCGTGACCACCACCATCACCCTGGTGCCCTCCGGTTACACTGCTCCCTCTTCGACCGCGACTCCCACCCCTACCTCGACCCCAACCCCGACCTCCACTCCTACGCCTACCAGCACTCCGGTCTCCTCCAGCTCCTCCTTTGTCCGTGTGTCCAGCTCTACTCCCCTGATCAAGGGCACTTCCACCGTTGTCGAGGTCAACACTGAGACTGCTGCGGCTGCCTCTACCTCCGCTTCTGCTTCTGCTTCCACCTTCGCGCACGCAAACGGCGCCTCAATGCGCCAAGTCTCCGGTGCTATGGCCGGTGTCGTTGCTGTCGTTGGTATGCTCCTCGTTTAAAGGGACTACGCAGAAAGAGATTCCGGGTCTCGACGCGAGCTTATGCGACGCGACTCGATATCGGATCTTGACGATCCGCAGCGCAGCCTAGCCGCTGGCGCTCTAATACTTCCACGTCTTGACTGACGGTGGGCTCATACCTCCGATTCTCCCATATCTTCTTGGAAACTTTGCGGTTGAATACCCCCGGCAGCCTACTGTTTTTTTTTTTTCGTTTCTTATTCTCTTTCCATTCTTCCATACATATTCTTCCGATACACCCCTTTTTTTCTTTCTTCTCTTCTACCTTCTCAACGATCACGGTCATTGTGATGATTTTATCGACTTCTTGATGCCTATACCCTTTTGACCACCTTTTCTTCTCACCTTCCTTACTAGCCCTTTTCACGTCATCCAAGACTCTTCGTTTTTTGTCTAATTTTTGACCCTTTTACTCCCTTCTTCTGGTGTCTTATGACCGCTTGGATTGATGATCTTAAATTCCTCCACATACCTCGAAACCGTTCCTGTCTGACTTGACCCTTGGGCTTTGATCTCTTCTTGTTCTGCAATGTGTAGGAGAGTAGATTTGCGAATAGATCTGCATTATCTATGCACAAAATTTCGGCTCACAAAAGGATACATAACTGTATTGCCTCGATCGTTCCCCACATGAAGTGGATCTGCAGATTCATTGATTATCGAGTATTTGACGTAATACCCCTACAAATGTCAACCCGTTGAAGAATGATGTCAATGTAGACAAGGGTTCTCCACGTTTTGATACTCACCTTCTCGGGAACCCCCCCCCCCCTCCTGGCGCTACGAGGCGGGTATAATGAGAGCCGCTGCGATGCTCGATTCTCCCACAGTATATCCCGACGAATATTATGAACCTGAGCCACATGGATTTTGATCTTACTTATCCCCGAAGCAGAGGTCAAATGAGTGTAATAACTATCATCTTATACTCGAACGTTGTGGGGGCGTCGAAGAAGGATGTCACATTTACACGAAACTATGTGTAGCTCACGATTGATTCAGGGTTCAGAAAGATAATAAGAATCGCTATGGAGCTACTCGAGCTGAATAGACTGCATATACTGACCTAGGAAGACCGTATACTTCGAATGTTACGGTCGATCGTCAAGTATCAATGTGGTGGAAGTTTATATAGACTTAGTCGACCAAGTCATGAATGGAAAAACCAGGCTCTAGTTGACAGTCCTATGATACAATCTGTGAGAAGAGGTTAATTGATATTGTTCTGTAATACTTGAAAAACAAGAAATCCAAGGCTTTTTTCCCTGCATCACATGCTGAAAAAGAAAATCATAGAATCATACAAGACCAGCTCTGAAAATTTTCGTGGACCATACCCATCATATCTAAAATCAGATTTCAAATGCACTCCAGTCACATTAACGTGTGCATTTTATCATCAACCATTAGCCGGAGCCATGTCGTTAAGGTCATAATATTCGTCACAGACAACCGCCTTCACGTAACACTCCCTTCTCTTAATGATGTCTCTCACGCATCTGCACAAGAGTCGTCCAGCCCTGACAACAAGATCGATTCATCCCATGTCCACACCAGCAGCAAGCCAATGATACCGACTGAGCGGCGGCACTATCAATCCCAATCTGATCAGCAGCACCAGCAGCACCGCTGACAAGTTGCATCTCATTCGAAGAATGGGTCCCCTGATTCCCCATCGTTAACCGCCGCGCACCCGTATCGGGAGACCGACCTCCAAAAACAGACTTTTTAAACGAAGTCCGACGCCCGATGGAATTTCGGCGTGAGAAGTTCCGTGTGAGACGAGATTCGGATGGGATATGCTCAGGACAGGCTAATTTGGCGTAGATTTCGGATGGAAGGTCGTGCCAGTATTGGCAGTGACAACAGATGACGAATAACTTGGCGAGGATTTGGTCTTTTTTGAGAGTCTTTGGGTTTTGAAGTGGGTTGTGCCGGATTATTGATACCACGCCGTCTGGGGCGAGGGGTGGGTTGATTTGAACATTGGGACTGGAGTTGGGATTGGGGTTGGTGGTTTGGATTTCGTTCGTCATGGGGCTGTTTGGCAGAGTGATGGTAGTTGTAGAAGCGCTGGAGTTGATGGTCTCTTGTATTTCTAGGGCTGGAGGATGGTTTTTCCGATGTGCAGGGTGGTTCGGTGTATCGAGGACTTCTTCATCGGCGGTGTCGTAGCTGGACGCACCGGATGATGAGCGGCTGTGAGCACGGCCGGCCAGGACGTTGGGGGTGGACTGACTGGCGGGCATCTCGGCTAGGCAATGACGGGTTTGAGGAACGGATTCCTGCGAGCGTGTCACTGGTACAGCTTCCGTGGTGATGATGGTTGGAATTGGTTGACCTTCATGGCTTAGCCGGCCATATGGCGAGTTCTCAGGTAGAGCGTATTTCCGGCCTGGGTGCTTCCATGGAGGAATCATGGATGGAGGGGTTCTGAGTTCCAATGCCGTGAGCTGCGGTTTATCAAAAGCGATAGCCTTGGGGTTCCATTTGCGCTGGTCATGTTTGATATTTCCCGCCGGGGTCTCTACCGGGCCCATGAGTGTTGCCCGATGGTCCTGACGAGCATTCTGCTTAGCCCGGGTTTGAGTCATGTCCGAGGATGAAGGAAATGAAGACTGTCGATTCCGTCCGCGAGAGAATTCAAAATTGATCCGTAGAGGTTGAGGTACGAGTCCACGACTATTTTGCTCTGCCGCTGAAGCCTTGTATAATTTCTCGTTCTCCTTCTGCAGGTCGTTTTCATCCGTTGTAACTGATTTTAGCGCCAGAGGAGATGATTTGTACTCCTTTTGATGCGCGTGGGAGTTGTGATCCGCGCCGTTCCTCATTTCCTTGGGAAGGGGACTAGTAGAAGGCGATTTAATAGGCGATGAGCGTTTGTCCTCCCCATGCGCAATGTTATGGAGCTGACGAGCCGTGGCCACTCGAGCGGTTGGAGATTCGGCAGCCTGGGTATAGTTCTGACCTGGGGAAACCGAGAGGCCTCCCGGTCGTAAAGTTGATGGAGTTGCAGGTTTCGGTGTCCCCGAGGGCTTTCTTTCCTGTCTGAGACTGGCAGTAAACAGCTCACGATCGAGGTCATTAGGGGCATTGGTGTGTGAAGGATACAAGAGCGGGTCATCTCTCTTCTGGAAGGACTCGGATACCGATTGAGCACCAGCACCGGCACCGGCATTCAATCCCATCTCCATCTTAAATCCATTCAGATAATCACCGGCTTCACGCTCGCTGTCCCGCTTTTGCCAGGCCTCTGCCATCTTCCAGTTCTCCCGCAAATCATCCGACTTGGCGGCAGTGTGATGGAGCAGGTGGGTGGAGCGTTGGAGCTGATGATTGGGCATTAGCGAAGTACCATGCCTGGATGCCAGTTCTCGTGATACCGCAGTCCCAAAGCGCTCGGTTAATGAGAGAGGCAGATTTGGCGGTCCTCCTTCCGGATTCTCATTATCAGAAGACCGACGTCGGTCGTCTCCATTTGCAGAGCTGGCTCGCGATCGGGAGGACCGGCGTGATCCTGAAAAGAAGGCTGTCAGAGACCTCGACGATCGTGGTCTTTCGGAGTTTGCACTGGAGGATCTTTTCCCGCTGTCCAGCGGTTGTTTCTTGGTCAGACGTCGGGATTGTCTGTCGTGAATGCCGTGCTCTAGTTTAGCCTGCGACTCTTCCAGTTTTATGAGGCGTTTCTCGAGCTCTTTTCTCTCTGCTTCCAGTCGCTTGGTTGCCCGCCTATCTTTACGAGTAGTTTCCTTCCATGCCGGAGACGCGCAAATCCCGTCCTTGTCTTTGGAAGTTTTCATGTCAGGCGTTGCCATGTACCGAGGCGTTGGTTGTTCGTTCTTGAAATGCGCTGGCCGAACCGAGGGACTTGAGCCGGGTGTCCATGTAGCTGGCACACGAGAGTCTTGTGAAGAGTACGTCAGTGTGCTGGGGAGTGTTTCATCTTGCAACGAGTAGCCCGTCGGAGTGCGGTGACCGAGAGCTGCCTCGGTCTCGTTGATGCGCGCGCCTTCTCCAACCTGCGCCTGGGCTGTAGAAGGGGCCGACTGGCCGGCCCGAATCCCATTGGAATCATTTGCTGGATAGAAGCTTTGCCGTTTCTGGAGAATCTGTGAGCTCGAGTCTAGTCCAGGTGACGCTGTGTCGTACCTTGTCCGAGCGATCGACGTGGAAAACACGCTGGATGCGCTCCGAGATGGAGGATCGCCGTCGCCCGCGGGGCGCAATCTGGTCATCCGTCATCTTGCATCCGACGAGCAGAACACACCGGTCCAACAATCGACGATCGCCAAATGGTCAGCAAGCATTGACGGAAGGTCCACGACCGATCGGAGCGAGGATGATCGAGGATGATGGTGGTGGTGGTAGATGAAGTTGATGAAAGAGAGAGAGAGAGAAAAAGTAAAAGGCCAGTCGAGAGAACTCCAGCGGAGCCTAACGACAGAAGCCCCGGGGCTCGCACAGAAGAAGAAAAAGGTGGACGATTTGTACAACCGTCAGAAAGGGAGAAACTTTCAAACTTGCCACAGCAAAAGTGGTTTCGAAATGGCTCGACTGGCCAGTGACTCGGCCCAACCTGAGACCTGCAGCTCGAACTATCCTCAGTCGGTCCCTGTTGGTGGTCTGTCTTTTGACTCTTTGTGACTGCTCCAATTCGAAGATCCCTCTGCCATTCTTGACTGTTGTTTTTTCTCAGCTGGATCTGAAGAAGATCAATCAGATATAATCATATAATCATCATCGGAGGTCAGCAACCCTGCAGCCTCGGTGGCCCGCCTCTTCGCTCCAGAGGGCGCCAGTCAGCCAAGTGGCTGAATTGTAAATGCACCGCACAACCACCTTGAATTATCCCACCACAGCGTCCACAAGACAACGGCCCAAACACGAAACCTTCCGAACCGGCTTGTCTACAGCAGTTGGTCCTGTTAGTCTTGTTTGGGTGGAATTCAAGAACCACCCGGTCAGTTCCCACGGTTCTCACCCGCACAGCCCCCCCCACTTGGCAGCCCGTGGGACGAGATGAGATGACAACTTTATTCTCTCCAGCCGCCCAGCTGAATTTCCCATCAGCATCATCCGACTCAGAGTTAAGGCGAGCAGCCAAGCTGAGAACTCTCTTCAGAGCTGATATTCAACATGGCACACAATTCAGGAAATGACCTCTCCGGCGCGCCGCCCAGCTATGATGATTCTCAGCAAGCTGCATCATCAGCAGCAGTAGTAGGAACCCAAGGCAACTCCCATGGCTTCGACAAACAGCAATATCATACTAGCACCCAGCAAAACCCGGGGCAGCAGTCACAGTTCCCACCGGGTGATCCTCCACCTTATCACAACTGGCAAGAAGCAGTGCCAGATACGTCAGTCTTCCCACCACCACCCATTTCAGGCAACTACAGCTCCGGCACGGGCAACGCCTCTGCCGACGATGCCCAGCGCGCCCATGACTTTTGTGACTCGACCGCTCTCTGGCAGCCCGTAGTACCCTCTACCGCGGTATACTCGTCCGTGGCCACCCACGACCTGCGCCCCGTTCGGCAACGCGAGTTTATCGGTGAACTCACTCCTACTGCACCGGGTCGCTGGTTCGGCCGCACCGTCGACCGAAACGGAGACTGCTGCGTACTGACCCATCTCCCTCTGTACTTTGCCGCCCAGGATTCCCCCTTTATCACGGAGAAGCGCAAGTCAATCTATTTCGAGGTCAAGCTGCTCACCCTCCGTGCAGGTCCCGAGGGCGACGCGAGTGGATTGTCCCTGGGCTTTGCCGCACAACCATACCCGTCATGGCGCTCGCCAGGTTGGGAGCGCGGTAGTCTCGGGGTATTTTCAGACGACGGCTGTCGCTTTGTGAATGACTCGTGGGGTGGGCGGGACTTTACCGCGCCATTCAAGATTGGCGAAACTCTGGGAATTGGGATGAAGTTTGCGCTGCCCGAGGATCCGCTCGCCATGGCAGATGCAATGTTTGGTGCCAAGCGGACGTGCAAGGTCGAGGTGTTTTTCACTCGTGATGGACAACCAGCGGGTGGGTGGGACCTGCATGAGGAGGTGGACGAGGAGGCCGGAAGCGTGGAAGGGTTGGAGGGAGACTTTGACCTGTATGGGGCTGTGGGATTATTTGGGGGTGTGGACTTTGAGGCTTGCTTTGATCCGGCTGGGTGGCGATGGCAGGGTACTGAGTAGAGACGAGGTTTATGTGGGAAACGGGGCGATTATCATTATTAGCTTTCAGCGTTCGTTGACCTTTGACTTCTGCTCGCCTAAAGGTGTGGCTTTTGTAGCTACCGATGCTTTGCTTAATTGGCGTCACGGCATACATACTCCATGCCAGCGAAGGTGAAGAAGCCCATTTCCTCGCGGTTAGACTAGTATGCGTCAGTTCTGCCACCGGGTATAGTTGTGAAGTTATCAAGCATGCAGGGAAGTATGTTACTAGAGTAATAGCCTTGACGTTTCTAGGATAGAGTATTCAAAAGACTCGATAGCTAATATAGTAGATTAGTATTCGGTGCTACTACCGTACTGCCGGATCTAGGCGCAGTAGTTACTGAAGGTCGTCAATATAAGTAGCACTTGCCTTTTTTTCTTCAGGTATGAGAAATACAGAGAAATAAAATAAGCCATGGAGCTCTATCATGATAACGGAGGAAATGATACGAGGAGGTCAATAAAATCCGTAGTTGAAGGTTTTGTAGATATTAGGGCTGTGAACCTATTGTCTTAGATGATATCTAAGATTTAACTTATACTTAATCATTCAATATAATTTCAAAATTCCATATGAATGTTAGAACCTATCCTTGTTGCTAGTTTCCTAGCCTCCATCCTGACCTTGGGAACCGTTACATGCATCCTCGATACTGCTGGGCGGAATCATCTGAGAACCTTCCCAAACAGGGCCTCGTCGTTTCACGTTTGCTGGTCAGCCATAAGTTGCTTGACGTTTTTTGCTTCAAGCAGAATAGTGTCGGAGATTCTTTTGGTACGAGCAACATTAGTCTCCTGCGTCTTTGTATTGCTAGACCAATCCGATATAAGGAGCCTCAACACGATATGGGTATACAAGTTGCCGTCCACGATGCTGACAAGTCTACCTTTGATCTCCTTTAATTGTTTCAATATTTACCCATGGCGCTCATGCAAGATCACATAACTCTACCTTCTCCAAGATGACAATGACTTCCTCGGCCATGAGTCGTCGGAGGCGACGACGAGGTGTTCTTTTTGTAAGCCACCCCGGGACTCAGGGAGCAAGCTTGATTCAGCCAGTGACTATTCCCACATTGTTGTATGGCAGTATCGCGAATGCACAAGACAAAGGGCCCTTTGCGTGCCCAACAGCGCCGACAAGATATAAAACTTGGCTGTCCAACGATCTGGATCAACGTGGGAGTGTTTCTGCTCACGGGCAAGTTCTGAGTGTCGTGGTGATAATTGGGGAAGGTTAATTGGGGAAGGTGTGTGGTGGGGTGGCTTACAATGCCATTACGGATGAGCGTTGGTACGATGATCGTGCGTGTGAGACTGGGCGCGTATGAGAGCTCCGGGTATAAAAAGGGCTAGGACGGCGAGCTGAAGTGAAGGGAGGGGAGTTTGTGGGCGAAGGAAAAGAAGAAAATGGCTCGAAGAAACGGTGAGAAGGGTAAGTTCTGAAAGGGGGAAATGTGGAAGACGGGTATATTGTAATCTGGGTTTCGGTATAGTGGGTGAATGACTATTACCAGGGAGACTGTTTTGATATAGAGAACAGCCTGCTTTTTGAATACTTCTGTGGACACCTCTTCTAATAAGTCTCGTTGGATAATGTAAAAATCTGAAAAGTAGTCATCCTGCGCGTCAACTATAATTATCAGCATAGCTGCATGAATTGGTCTTGGCAGATCTTATAGAGGTTTATTAAATCATTTCTGAGATTAATCAGTTAGGTATGATCCCGCTCAGGTACCAGGGCTTTCTTCTCCCTCTTGGCTGGCGAAAGCTTGGAGGGTGTTAGAAAATGCACTAATGCCACTCTTCCCCCTACAGAGATTAACTGACCTCTATATATAACACTGCATGTCCTGTTTCGAGCACTCTTGTCCCAGACAATTTATGCATGTCCTATATGACCTTGCATGTGTGCGATTGTACCACAGAGAATCGGCTACAACAAATTAAAATGAGATATAAGTTCAATTTGGTATCCCAAGATCTACCCAATTCTTTTGCTGGATTGTCTTTGGGTTCAAAGTGATATCAACACCATGAAAAATCCTATTTTCATATACTATTTCCCATAGGGCTGAGGCTGAAATTGGGTTCAAGTGACAGGTCAACTCGGGGTGGTTCATGCTAGTTCTTCGATTGGCTTGTCAGGAACGGGGCTAGTCAATATCAAAAGGAAAATAGAAAAGAACAAACAGTATTCTAACAACAACCGGGAAAGAAATGATTGTTCAGAATGTCCCATGTGTTTGCCACTTATAGCTTCGTTATCTAGAATCTAGACTACAGAGCGTAAGCTATGCAGTATACACAGTAAAGCTATTTTTACAAAATACGAACCTAGGGTATAGATCTTGTCCAATATAGGCTATATGTATTTCCAACAAAGCTCAAGAAGGGACCCGAGATATGCGCGTAATGTGCTATATTACTCCCGGCATATGGCACCACACACCTCGACCCCACTGCACCATACTGCTATACCTGCCCACCCACGATTATAGCAAATGGCCTAGGTAAGGTCTTGAGGGTTCTAGTCTTTCCCATTCCATGTCTTGGAACATGGGATTCAACCCTGCCATAACCAGGGAAGGGTAATGCACGATGACTCTATGCCGCGCTCACTTGCACACCGAATCACTTCTCCCTACATATCCTGCCTGCCCTTCATCGTACATGATGCATATGCTCGTATATCTAGAAACATCCGCATGCATATACACTACTTACGCCAATCCACTATCTCTCCTGCACGTCGTTCTAGAAGGCAAACCACCCTCCATTCCTTCTACCTCCGTCTTCCTGGTCCCCACGCGCATTAGTGGCTCGGGGGGAAGTATCCCCTGCATCCGGAGCTGCACCACGGTTGTATCGCCGTCCTGCGCCGAGGAGCAAGCCGAATGTCCGCAATGACCAGGGGCGGGTATGATTATCCCTGTCAGGACATGGCCCCCCTACGGGCTACGCACCCCTGCCATCTTCACGACGTCCCGCGGCAAAGGCCCAGGCCCGAGGCCCCCGTTTATACCCCGTCTGTGGAGGTGCATGAACGGGACAGGGAGAGGGCACGAGCGATGGGCCTGCTTTTGACGTCATGGCAAATCCTCTTGCCCGTGTGAGCGGCGGTACAAAAGGAGTAAGTAGTCAACTCATGCGTTCGGCTCGTGCTACGGAAAACGAGGAATGATCGGCCGGCGCTGAGGCACGATTAGTGGGTACACAGTACAAGGTACGACAGGTAGAACAGGCACGAAAAGAGAATAGAAACTTTAGTGTACATATATCCTGGTCGCTATGGGCCCGCCGGGCGGCCTAAGACTAAGTACTACAGTTGTTGGGACCAGGATCAGTACCGAAATCTAGAAACAAAAAGACAAGACGGGAGACCCTGGAAATCCTTGGCGATAGACGTTGCAGCCTTGCAGGATGCCCTCTACTTTCACGAAAAGAGGATACCGTGCAAGGAAAGGTTGTCTATTATTCTATGGTAGCGAAGCGCGAACGGACAACCTAAGTTCGGCCGGGGCTAATCGGTTCCGAGCGTCAGCTTCTCACCTTTTCAGCTTTTCAGCTTCAGCTTGGACCAGTTACGAGTTATCCTCCGTTAGTCTGTATACACTCAGCCGAGACCCGGGGTAGTGGATGGAGCTAAGCAAGACAGCTTCCTGCTCGTGGTCGAACACAGCAATGAAGGGCCTGAGCCACAACTCCTTCCTTTCTCAACCATTCCCTGTCCCTCCCTTTGCCTTTTCCGGTGCGGATGCGAACGTTAGCAATAATGTACGGAGAACAGGTAGAAAAAGCCGCCCCCCAAGAAAGTCTTTATTTTTTCTTCCCTTTCCAGCGAGATTCTTGTTTCATAGTAAGCGCAATGACCACGAATCAGATGCATGTCATACGCACTGACGAAAAGGCAGGGTGGGTGCAATAAAGCGCGATCATCCGAGGGGTTCGGGGAGGACTGCGAAGCGCTATTATTATGCTAGAGCAACTATATTTGTCTCACGTATATCTGGTCTAGATGCGATCTATTGAATATTGAGGGTGCCTGGTAAAAAGTAGTTGATGACAATGACGATAGCGATAACTAACCAGCGAATGCGATGGCCGAGTTTAACATCAGGCCAATCACAAAGTCGGAGATCATTGTAATCTACTCGAATAGGTCTAAAGGTCGGGGGTATATTTATGTACTACTGACCATAATGTAGACTGACTTGCATTGAATTAGATCACTCAGTAGAAGCGGTTCTTTCTCCATACACAAAGCGTCAAAATGCTAATTTGAGTCCATTCTAGCTTCTTTTCTCCGATCAGCTCGCTGATTGCACCATCTTGCTCCAGTGTGTCCTCTTCGGTTTTACGCGGCCCTATAAAGATAACCAACTCCGAGAGGTCCTGTTTGAATGGTTCAATTAATACCCGGCATCATCTTATGCGTTGGCAGACACAAAAGTACCGATCTAAGGGGAAAAGGAACTGCTGTACCTTGATCAATAATCCCCCATAGCCTCTTTCCTTCTCTGGATACACTGGCATGAGCTTTTGATCAAGGATATCTATATAAATATACGAAGTATCCTTGCTATATGTAAAGTATCAGGATTACCGGGCGGAACACAGTATGCTCATTGGCAGCGTTTGCAGAAAATAAAACAGACCAGACCAGACCAACCAGTGGGGGGGGGACCAAGCCGGTGATTAACCCGAGACTATCCATTGATGGTTGCAGCAGACGCCGCCATCTGAGGCAGCCTCGCTGCAGCTAAGGAATAGGAAGAACTAAGGAAGACCGGGTAGGACCAGGGGTTGTCGCGCGTTAGGATTGGTAGTGAGTTGCACTGAGCTTAGCGCAGGTTGTGGGAGTTTCGCGCAAGGATTAGTGGTTAACTTGTGCTTATGTTATAGCCTGTCTCCCGCTCGGGTTCTGGGTGATTCCATCGCCCTTTTGTCCTTTTCCTTTCCAGATTTCTTCCGTAAAGGAAGAGGGAGAGGGCTGTGGTACTAGGATATTTCTCCCATCCAATTGAGGGTTGGTCTCCCGGGCAGGCCCTGGTACGAGGCCCCTCATGAGCTTCCGTAGAACCGTTTTAATCTAACAAGAAACCAGCAACTTGCACACTGTACTTCATACTCCATACTCGTTTTTAGTTCTCTATTTACCATTCTCCGGTGACGGGATAGTGCGTGTGCGCGCGGATGAAGGAGGCGGGGGCCCCTGCAGCTATGGCAGGGTGGAGGTTGGCCGTTGCCACCAGATCTCGCGCTACGCCCGCCCGAGGAAGATCCCGTCGATGTGAAACTGTGGGTTTTTGTTTTTTTTTTTTTTTGTACGACCCCAGAATAGTTATTCATGATCATCG